AGCCTTCGCCTTCTTCACAATCCTGCAACTTTCTATGTAACCAGCATTTTTCCAGGCCATAAGTACATGTCTGCATGTCACGTCAAGACATAGTTAAACTAAATTATAGTTTAAAAGTGAATGTACAACTGTACCCATGTTCTGTTCTTGGCTTATCTCTTGTGGTTTGTTTCCCTCAAACAAACCACAAGCACAGGTTCAGACATAACACCTCCCAGCAGCACATCAGCAAGAACCGGGGATGAACAAAGGACTTGTAATGTCATCAGTATGCACCAGCATGGTCATAGTTACCGTATTTTTCGCTCCATAGGACGCACTTTTTCCCCTCCAAAAATGAAGGGGAATTGTGTGTGCGTCCTATGGAGCGAATGCAGTCTTTCGCTGAAGCCTGGAGAGCGAGAGGCATCGGTGCGCACCGACCCCTCTCGCTCTCCAGGCTTCAGGAAGCTATCCGCAAGCCTTGCAAGCCCGGTGGGAGTTCCCGCGGGCTCACAAGGCTTGCAGGCAGCAGCCTGCAGCCCCGGCGAGTGTCCGCAAGCCTTGCGCGCCCGGCAGGAGGTCCCGCCGAGCGCGCAAGGCTTGGGGCTGCAGCTTGTCGCCCGAAGCACGGGGAGCCCTCCGGAGGGCTCCCGTGCTTCGGGCGAGTGTCTGCAAGCCTCGCGCGCCCGGTGGGAGGTCCCGCCGAGCGCGCGAGGCTTGGGCGGCAGCCTGCAGCCCGAAGCACGCGAGGCTTGGGCGGCAGCCGCGGGGGGATAATTTTTTATTCATTCCCCCCAAAAAAAACGAGGTGCGTCCTATGGGCCGGTGCGTCCTATAGAACGAAAAATACGGTACATGTAAACCATAGTTTGGTTTAACTATGGCTTAAAATACCATATTAACCAAGCCATTGTGAGTTTTGAGTATGCAACATATAGAAGAAAGCTCGGTTTTGCCCTTGGTTTCCATGGGATCAGAAAAAGAGGGCTCATCTACTAAGCACATTAAGGTGGACTCTTCCTAAACTACTTGTTTCATACCTAAGCACCAAGCAAAAGTGTGAGCAGTCTCCAGAAGGAAAGGGCAAAGGTTTACACAGATGTTTTGTCTAACCATCGCCAGTTTCGGCAGCGCTAGTGATACTGACTCTACTAATCCCTCAGGCTGTCATTTGAACACAGGAACTCAGGTTTGCTGAATAATCACCCTGACACACAATTTCTCTGCCCAGAAGCACCCTAAAGAAACCCTGAAAAACACATAGTCCAGATGTTCAGCTTATTGTAGTGAAACTGCTAAAACTAAATAATATGTAGTGTTAAGTATATAAACACTACTGACAGCTGAAGGTGCTTCGCATGCATTAGCTGAATAATCTTGCAACCTTATAAGGTAGGTCAACACTATTATCCCCATACTGCAGATGGAAAAGGATGGCTGATGTTGAGAGATAAGGGCATGCCTAAGGCAACCAGTGAGATAATGGCTGAGCCAAACCAGGGACAAATCCACACTTCCAGCGACTACACTGCACCTAGTTAACAACTGTTCCTGCCTCTCCAAGTGCAATGAATGCAGTTTTGCCTGTGGATAAGCAAGAGAAGGAACAAAGGCACAATGTGCTTACTGTGAGATCCCAAGTAGAGAGATACAACGAAGCGCACAAGGTGTGTTACTAATTGATGGTTGCCCTACTGATCCGCAGCAGTGATAATTAGCCCAAAGTGCAGTGCATACGGCAGGCATGGGGAGCCTCCGGCAGGTGGCCCTTCAGGCATCTCTGTCTGACCCTTGGGACTTTCCCCAACCACACCCCTCACCTGTTCTCAGTTCACAGGCTCCTTGAATGTTTTTGCTTGGCTGGGATGTGTCTTTGAATTCTGGTGACTCTTGCTTGCCTGGATGAAGGACTGAGTGAGTGTGTGCAGATACTAGCTCATTGTACAAAGGGGAAACGGGAATTAATTGCTCTGCCCTCGTTTGCTTCTGACCCTGCCCATCACTGGCATATGACCTCCAAAAGGTTGCACAGAAGAGAATATGGGTCTCAGGCTGAGAAATGCCCCCATCCTTGGCATTCAGCTTAGTTATTTATAGAGGGTGGGCTAGCACCAAAGAAGAGATACTCTGAGGACCAGAGAGAAGTTTATACAGTACCTTCTGCTATAATCATTGCCTGCATCCTAGTGATGATATATGAAAAACCAGTCACACAAGCAATAGAATGTGAACTGCATTCAAACATGAAAGAAAGACTGCCTACTTTGATCTCTTATAGCCCCAGGCAACACACTCTTCCAAAGTTGTAGTATTTTTGACCTAGACTTCACATTTCATAGAAAACAACGATCAGATCGCCTGACATTTTTGTTTTTTTCCTTAAAGGCAGCTACGCGGTCTTTAAACTTAAACAGAGCAGTGGCCTCATGTGGTGTGTTGTCTCTGCGCAAATAAAACCCAATAGAGCCCATGGGTTGGTGCAGTGGTTAGAATGCTGGAAAAGGACCTGGAAGGCAAGGGTTCAAATCTCAACTCAGACTTGAAGTTCACTAGATGGCCTTGGGCCAGTAGCTAACTCACAGTTTAACCTACCTCACAGGTTGTTGTGAGGATACAATGGGGAAGAAAACTGTAATACACAACCTTCAGCTCCTTGGAGGAAAGGTGGGATACAAGTGTAACAAACAAACAAACATGGTGTTAGTAATTTAACTTAAAAGAAGATTGAGACTATTCAGACAATCCACTGTTCTCAGTAACTCTGGGGTGTGCATATTAACTTCTGGAAAGTAATCCAACATCAACTCAGAACAACAAATGTGTTAGGAATAAGGTGACATTTCCTACTCATACTTTTATTCTTAGTTGAAAAAGAGAGGGGGGGATAAGAAAATTCAGCCTCAACTCTTCTCCTATCCAACGACCACAAAATCAATTTTGTTTTGCAAATTGCAAGTGAAGGTTATTAGAATAGTCAGAGTCTTGCATTCCAGTCCCGTTAACACAATAAACACACTTCTGAAACTGAATTAAATGCACATGTAGGCACAGGGAGATCAGAATTTATAACTCAATAAATACAATTTGACAAAATGATCTAAAAAAAGCATACAACATTGTCAAATGAAACCAGTCCCTTGCATGACTAATTGACGCTTGGATGCAACTTGTGAATGTTACATAACTGGCAACTTAAATGTTCTAAATACTTATAACCATTTCCTTTCATATCTGTTTATATTTCCATGTAACACAAGCCTCTGTTCATTCAGTTTCTTCTTCAGAGATAACTCTTTCTCTCTTGGGACTCTTTAATTCAGCAACGTACTTAACCATATTTATTCTTCAGTTTCTCTCTATAATGCACCACAAAAGTAGCAGTGACACAAAACAAGATATAAAACATATCCTTGCATTTCCTACTGTTTTAGCACTAAGGATAGTGAGTGGGAATAGATATTACTGTGTCTAGGTAGCACAAATATCAAATATGGTATTTGCATATTTGCAATACATAACCATTGAAGAAGGACAAGTGAAACACATTATAAGAAGTATGCATACATTGCACATGCATCCAGCAGAAGAATGTATGACACTGGGAAGTTTGGTGAATTGACCATAGTTTATACATATTGGCTACACAGACTGCATCTTAGGCACATAGAGTAGTATAACATTATCAGTTTATCTTTCTGCCTCAGCGGTACCTATTTATTTGTGCTGGTATGTTTTCGAACTGCTAGGTTGGCAGGAGCTGGGACAGAGCAACGGGAGCTCACCCTGTCATGCAAATTCGAACTGCTGACCTTACGATCAGTAAGCCCAAGAGGCTTGGTGGTTTAGACCACAGTGCCGCCCTGGTTCCATCACAGTGTCCCGTTGCGCCAGAAGCAGTTTCGTCATGCTGGCCACATGACCCAGAAAAGCTGTCTGCAGACAAACACCAGCTCCTTCGGCCTGAAGGCAGAGATGAACGCTGTATCCCATAGTTGAATTTGACTGGACTTAACCGTCCAGGGGTCCTTTACCTTTTTATAACATTTTTAAAATAACATTATCCACAGTTCTCCTTCTCTCACAATACTAGATCCTGTGGTCATTCAGTTAAACTGATTCATGGCATACAAAAGGAAGGACCATCACACAGTGGTCAGTTAAAGTATGGAATTTACTCCCTTAAGATGTAGTGACAGCCACTAACCTTGTTGGCTTTAAAAGGTGGTTAGACAAGTTCATGACGGATAAGGCTACCATTGACTCCTAGTCACGACACCTGGTTGCCACTGTGAGACTGGGATGCTAGACTTTTCTTCGATCCAGCAAGAGCCTTAACTACTTGTCCATGACATGCCCAAACTGATGCAAGCTAAATTTAGAGTTTGCCTATACCATTCATATGACCACCCAGCCACAGGCTGATGAAGATGGGATTTGTCTATGGTTGGAGTGTTTTCCCACAGCCACCAGTTGTGGCTGAAGTAGTTGTGACAACATGCCCTTAAAATGAGTTGCTGTACTTCCGCATACAGCTCTGTTTCCTGCCCTAGAGGAGTTTATCAATCTCACTTGTGCAATCAAGAGCAGGGAAGTGAAACTGATGAACTTCAGCTGGACTTGCTGCTATGGTGAAACTGATGTGGGACACCCCCAAAGATGTCATGGTAGAGCCAGGCATCCATACATTGCTTCTGTTTCCTCCCCACATGGATTCCTGAGACTGCTTCTCCAACTGTTACTTTTAATATTCTCAATGATATTCACAAAAAGGGGGGGAGGCTGGAGTAATGGAGCTGTCTTGCTGGTTATCTTGCATGGCACTTAAGATATGTATGTAAGCAAAAAATACAGGAGTGAGGAAGCATTTATTGCCTGAAGGCTGCATTTCCTTCTGAGCATCCTTCTTGAGGCCACATGCCAGTGGAGGTGGGGACTGAAGAAAAGGTGGATGGAGCAGTGAATGGCGATTTTACCTTCGTACATTAGGCTAGCTCCGGTTGGCAATCTAACCTTCTGCAGAACAACCCTGGCTCAGCCAGTAGAGCATGAGCCTCTTAATCTCAGGGTTATGGGCTCGAGCCCTACGTTGGACAAAAGATTCCTGCACTGCAAGGGGGTTGGACCTTGTGGTCCCTTCCAACTTTACAATTCTATAATCTAGTTTGTTTATACTATTTATTTAACTTGCAATCCTGCGAATGTACCACTAAATACAGTGAATGTAGAAAGCTTCCTTATACAAAATCAGACCATTGGTCCATTTAGCTCAGTGGCATGCCTAATGATTTAGCACTGGCTCTTCCCCAGCCTACCTGGAGATGCCAGGAGTGGAACCTAGGACCTTCTGCATACAAAACAGATGCTGCACCACTGAGCTTACAGCCTTTGCCCTGAAGATCCCAATCCAATCCATAAGATCCCAATCAAACTCATATTCTGCCCATTGGAAAGAAGCAGACCGAAGCAGTCTTACTGAAATAAAAGTTTCGAACGCAATCAGAACACAAAAACCAACCAGGCAAGGAAGCAGCATAAAAGTAAGAAGACAGGCAAACAGTACCGATCGGGCCCATTGGATTTGCTAAATTGACAGCTCTGCTCCTTACCATTCGCGTTCTTCCCGCAGATCAGGTGCTCATAGGGCTGCAGCACTCCCCAAAGCTCCGCATCGTTGTTGATAACCATCTCCAGAACTTCTGCGGAGATCTCACTTCCCCCTCCGCCTCCGTCGGGGCTCTGGCTTGCCACTACTCTGGCCTTGATCTCCTCCACCAGGTTCTCCATGCAGGACGTCAAAGAGATGGCCGCGTACTCGTGGATCCTCACCGAGATCCTGGTATCCACCATCCACCTGAAGAACCTGCCCACGGAAAAGGTGAGGCCGCACCTGGCCGACTTGCCCTTCCTCAGCCCGTCGCCGGCGCTCATGCTGTAGAGCGAGAGCGCCTTGACGGTGGCCAGGACGCAGCTCTCGGACAACGACCAGCTCTGGATCAGCTTGATGGCGCTTTGGATCTCGAAGCGCGTGCACTTGGAGTGCATCACGCTCAGGCGCTGCGCCTCCCTGGAGATCCGGATCAAGGGTCTCCGCAGTAACACGGACAACCTCCGCACCGCTTCTTGGGTGAAGTCCCTCTTGGTCCCTCCTCCTGCTTTCCCTTTCCTGAGGATCTTCCCAATGTCCTCCTCCGTCCAAGGGAATTCCTCCAGGTCGGGCAGCTTGGCGCATCTGGAGAAGATGTCCGCCACTTCGGGGTCCTCGGGCAGGACGGTGTTGACGGTGTCCCAGCTGTTGTTGCGACTGTTCATGGAGCCCGAGTAGTACCACCAGTTGCCCCTGGGCTGAGACGACGCGAAGGCTTGCGAGTTGGACTTGCAAGAGGAGAGGCTGAGCGAGCGGCAGGAGTCCCCAGCCCCATACCCGGAGTCCAGGGTCAAGTCTTCCAGGGTCTTCAGAGTGGAGCTGTATATCCCAGCCATAGGAAAAGAACCTGCGATCTTGCGCCAAGCCAAGGGGGGAAAAGAAAAGCAGCAGCAGCAAGCGCAGGACCCAACTCCCTAGATCGGGGGCTGCTTCCAAAAGAAGCCCGAGGCGAGGAGCTGGCCGGCCCCGCTGGTCCTTAGGCTCCCGGAGAGGAGTCCCGTTGGCGCTCGAGCTCCTGGGGCTCCTTCAGGTTCTGCTGGGTGCCAGCTGTCTCCATTCCACGGCGAGGGGTGAGATCATTTATTTTCCGCCTCGAGCAAGGATGGAAAATACTGGGGCCAGGAGGAGGAAAAAAGAAGAAGAAGAAGGGATCAGGCAGAGAGAAAGAGAGAGAGAGCTCTTTTCAGAAGCTCCAAGAGGGCAGCGCCGTTCCCAACGGGGCGCCCTTCAGCGGCGGAGAGAGAAGCCTCCTGGGCGGCTCAGGAGGGCAGGCCAGCCCTTTCCCAGACGGCGATCCGGTGTCACACCGGGACTCCTCCAGAAGGCGAAGAAGATTGGACGAGGCAGCCCCGGGAGCTGCTGCTGCTGCCGCCGCGCGTCCCCCGCCCCGTCTCAGACACTTGCAGAAGCTTTGAGCGAAACTTCTCTGGTGCTGCACGGCTGGACGCACCGAGTTGCAGGCGGCATGCAAATGACCTGCGGGGAGCCGCACCAATCGGCGGCTCCGGGGGCGGGGCCCGCCGCCGAAAGGCGAGCTGGGCGGCCCGTATGTAAATCTCGAGGGGCGGGGCCTGTGACGTCGCGGTGAGAGGAGGAGCGCGCGAGAAGAAAGACGGCCCGAGAGAGAGGCCGGACAAACCCAGGAGCCGCGACGACAAGCGGGGAGAACTTGGAGCGATTCTGCTGCGCGACGAGAAACCGCGTGTCCCGTCATGTCCCGCTCTCGCCAAGCAAAGGTAAAGAGGGTGTTGGCCGCCTGCTTTAAGCCCGACACGTGTTTATTCCGACCCCCGATTCCCCGTGCGGACGACGCGTAACTTGCAAAACGTGGTTTGCTGGGGAGGACGATTTGTGGAGTTTTCTCTCTTCCAGTACTTTGAATTGCACCTGCCGCCCTCTGCACAAGCTCAGTGAACTGGGGCGGTGGGGGAAATCAGACGTCAGCGGCAGGCAGGCCGGCCAGTTTCCACAAGACAGACTTAGGTGCTCCAGGTGTTTGCTCACTTGCAAATTCTGCACAGCTAAAATCCAGTGACAACTGAACACGCTCCTCTCAATGTCCCACAGTTCAAGGTGTTTCCTTTGCTGTTAGACGCTGCCGAGTTGTGCTTTTAACAGGGAAGAAGGCCTTTGAGTTTTCTTCCTTGGGCCACTTGGGATTGTTTTTAAAGTAGGAAGGGCGCAGAATGAATGCACAGGCTTGCCTGAGCTAAGAAAAAGCTGCTTTAAGCCTCAGGTGTTGAAGGCACCTTCAAGATGCCTTTGCCTCCAAAGAGGCACTTCTGAGTGCTGCTAATGTGGGATAAAGGGCAGGGGAGTCTTTAGCATATGCGCCGCTGGGGTGCAAAGATCTGCCCAGCGCCCCCAAATTTAGTTTAGTTTAAAACAATGTATTCCATTTTCTAGCATGCATTAACAATTTAAAATGTGTTTACACCATTTCTGGTGTGGAAATACCTAATGTAAAACACCCACTCTCTGAAAAACAGATTCCAGAAAACAACATGGCAGTGATATGTTGAAACTAAGACACATTCTTAATGCAACTTTTAATAATGCTCTTGGCTACTTTGTTATTGCAACATGGAAAGATGAAAGGGTGGGAGGAGTCAAGGATTTGGGTCAGATGTCATGATTGGGATCAAGCAACTATAGTCCATGGAGGCAGCATAGATAGACCAAGATAGATAGCTTAGGCAAGCAAAGGAGCTTCTCTTGCTTCCAAGAGAGTATTTTCCAATCATTTGCAGGAATGCAGAGGCCCTGGATTTATTAATCTGGTTTATTATTGAGATCCCAACTCCCCGGGTTTTTGACATTGACAGTAAGAAATGTACTAACCTTTAAAGTGCCACAAGACTCTTGGTTGGTTTTGCTGCAAAAGGCTAAAACAGCTGCTCACTTTGGAACAGAAGCCAGTGTACATCTGCCACGTAGACCTCTAAAGCTAAGAAATACAGTTGTACCTTGGTTTTCAAATTTAATCCATTCCAGGAGTCTGTTCGACTCCCGGAACAGTTTAAAAACCAAGGCACAGCTTCCGATTGGCTGCAGGAGCGGGGCAGACTTTTGACTTCTGAAAATCATTTGAAAACCAGAACAATCACTTCTGGTTTTCGATGGTTTGGGAGCCAAAACGTTCGAGTTCAAAGGCGTTCGGCTTCTGAGGTTCCACTGTACATAAATCATAGCATAATATATAGCTGAGTTGGTTACGGCATAGTGCTGATAACACCAAGGTTGCAGGATTGATCCCTATATGGGGCAGCTGCATATTCCTGCATTGCAGACGGTCCCTTCCAACTATATGATTCTAAATATGATACACCAAGCAAAGGGCCTTCTTGGTAGTGGCACCCACCCTGTGGAATGCCCTTCCATCAGATGTCAAGGAGATGAGTAAACATATATCTTTTAGGAGACATCTGAAGGCAGCCCTGCATAGGGAAGCTTTTTAAGGTCTATTGTTTTATATATATGCTGGAAGCCACTCAGAGTGGCTGGGGCAACCCAGTCAGATGGGCGGGGTATAAATAATAAATTATTATTAATATGCAAGTATACTGATGTACAAACAAGGTAACTTAAGGCTGAAATCCTAATGTTCCACACCATTTACTTGTGAGAAAGCCCAACTGAATGTGGCGGGGCCTGCTTACAAATAAACATTGGATTAAGTTTATATCTCTGCCATGAATCTCATAACATGAACGAGTGGATTGTCAGCCTGTTCATTTACGGCAGCATGCTACACTCTGAAAAAAGCCTTTGTATGGAAGTTTACACACTTTTGACCTTGAACCATGAGCTGAGTATGGAATACAGATACCTTTCTCTCTTAATTAAAAGGTGGGTTTGCCTTTTTATTAGTATTTTAGATAGGTGAGCTGTTCTGTAATTTCTTGATACAAGAGTGCCACCTTCTGGTAAGAAGGAAGTTCAGCAACAGTAGTGTATTTCCTGAGAGACTCCACAGCAAACACAGAAATAATTTCGATATCCCTCTGTCAGAGCGGGTATATAACGTAGCTTGGGGCTACTCCAGGTTCCTTTGCTGTCACTTGAGGTTCAGATGGACTCAGTGGCGCGGAAGGCCTTTCATCAGTTTGGGCTGGTGGCCCAGATGTACCCCTATCCGGACAGGGATAGCCTAATTTTTGTTGTCGCTCTGGTAACCAATCTGTTAGATAGATAGATAGATTACTGCAACACATTACATGTGGGGCTGCCTCTGAAGACATATTGAAAACTTCAGCTGGTTCAGGATTCAGTGACCAGGGCAAGACGGTTTGATCCTATTACACCAATCCTGCTCTGGCTGCCGATTAGTTCCTGGGCCCAATTCAAAGTGCTGGTTTTGACCTATAAAGTCACAATACCTCAAGGACCGTCTCTCCCCCTATGAACTGATCCGGATCCTGCAATCATCATTTGAGGCCCTTCTTCACGTTTCTCCTCCATTAGAGGTTTGGAGGGTGGCAACACAAGAAAGCGCCTTTTTCTGTGGTGGCTCCCTGTTTGTGGAATACTCTCCCCAGGGAGGCCTTTGTATTTAGGCACCAGGCAAAAACGTTTCTCAATAACCAGGCCTTTGGCTGATTAAACATTCTATGGCCTTTTAAATGTGCATGCGTAAGAGGAGGTTATTGCTTTGTTTTTCGTTTGTTATGTATTTTGCTCTCATTTTGTATTTTTATGTTGTGAACTGCCCTGTGATTTTCAGATGAAGGGCAATATACAAGCTTTAGCAGCAGCAACAACAACAACCACCTAATGTCAGTGCAAGCAGATCAGCTTATTTTCAGAAATAAATTATTTCATAAAGCAAAGCTAATAAAAAGCCATCAAAAGAATTACAGTGGGTTGCATTTTGGTGGTTTCAGAGCACTATCTTACTGCTAGAGGTCTGTAGTCTGTTCAGTGCACATTCACTCCTTTATTGTGATTATTTTATCGCACGCTATATTTATATGCGCTCTTTTTCAGCATTAACATTTACATTGTGCTTTAGAGCAGGCATGGAGAGGCAGTTGCCCTTCCTGTCAGCTGAATCCAGTAGCCAGGGGGTGGCAGAAGTTTTAGTCAAGCCACATCTGAAGGTGTGCAGGTTTCCCATCTCTGCTCTGGACTAACCAAAGGGCTTCATATGCTTGTAGATTAGGGAACCATAGATGTTGCTGGATTGCAATTCCCGTTATCCCTGATCAGTGGCCATGCTGGTAGAGGCCGATGGGAGTTGAAGACCTCAGATTCTCCATCCCTGATAGCAAATTCTCTTGTCATATTTCTAATGCAGAGAAGAAGTGGCTAGCCTAAGACCACCTTCTGGTTTTCGGAATACCCCTGAAGGATACTTGATTCTCATGTTTCAAGATGGCTGCTATGACTGACCCTCCTGTGTGGCAAAAATTAGGTCGCCGTGGTACATTTAATTATTCACATTTGGACCCTACTGTTCTGCAAGAACATGTCCAAGTTGGCTAACAATAATAAAATAAATACCAGAAATTAATCACATATGGTAGTTGCCAAAGTAACACTAAGCAACTCTTTGTACCAGCGAAATGACTTCTGCTTGCGCAACCCATGCCCCCTAAAATTGTTCTGGGGCTTCCCCCACTCTTCTGGAGCAATTATAGGGCTGGCATGTGATTGGGGGGAGGGTGAGTCCCATTCTGCAAGCAGGAATATTTCTACTCGCTCAATTATTTTGTTATATATACTGCCCGTAAAATATATTGCTAAATATGGTGCCTAAAAGAGGCAATATAAAAGGCAAGTCAATAAAAAACAGCCAGATAAAACCAACAAAAAGAAAGAGACCCACAGAGACAGTGGCGAATAAAATACAAACCTGCCGTAATAAAAAGGTCTTTTTCACCTGCTGGGGAGAAGGGACTTGCATTTGTTTTATTTGTTTTATCTTAATTTATAAACCACTCTATATTCAAAGAGTACCCAGGCAGTACTCAGAAAAAAAATATAAAACACAAAACCCAGCAAGAAATAAAACTGTGATGGTAAAATAGAATAATTTGGGAAGAGTGAGGAGAAAACAAAAAGTTTTCAATGAACATACAAAATGTAACAATGTGGGGGAATAGTTTCACTGCTAAATGTGCTGGTTTCATTTGCTCTTCCACCTGAGCACCACTTGGGGTCTTTGGGTGAGGCTCTGCTTCATGGTGAGGAAAATGGGCTTTTATGTTGTGGTGCCTTGCCAGAGCTCAGAATTTGTTTATAAAGTTGGTTAACATATTCCGCTTCAATAAGTCATTTGGCTGACTGACAAATGTTGCTGCTGAGGTTTATTTTTTCGGTTCCGATTGGTGATTTAAATGTTTTACTGCATTTTAAATGCATTTTAACTGGTTGCAACCCATACTGAGAGCCACTTAAACTGAATAATGGTGTTTTTTTTGGGGGGGGGGGTGTTTAAAGAAAAAGTAAAACGTGACACAGCACTCATCAAGATAATGAATACAGGATAGCTGCTTTCATGCATGTTTACAAACATTTTGCTTGATGTTTTCAATTATCTGGTACTGACAAGTTCTACTGCTACTGAACTGCAAATGAAGACATCTTTTTATTTATTTTTTAAAAAAGACAAGCTGCTGTACAATAACATTTTTCCTCTCTCCTTTTCTCATGCACTTTCTGCAAACTGCTTTTTATGGGCACACTAAACATGATAAGGGAGACTTCGGATCAGATCCCCCAACATCCTTTTATTTACTTAAAAGAAACTGTGGAACTGGCACTTTTACAAGTGTTACCTTTTGTTCATTCCATACCTGCAAGAAGTCAATCTTTTTAGTGTGGAAATACCTATCCTCTGGAATTCACAGCCTATTAATATTGGGGAGGAACCTTCATTGTAGTGTTTTTGATATCAGCTAAAAACTTTTCTTTTTAGGGAATCCTACCCAAATAAACCAATTGAGGGGTTGTTGTTTTTTGGCTATAGAAAGCTAGCCAAATAAAAAACAAAGTAAAAACAGCTGCTGTTGTGACAGGCTGGCTCAGGATTGTGGCACTGGGTGGGGGCAGATTGAATCCCTCCCCTCAACACTCTGACTTAAATTGCTGTCCTTCTGAAGCTGTTATAATCCATCAAAGGGATAGAATAAGTCCAATACAGCTAATATCAGCTTTGGAAGAGGTCATTTCAGTTGGGGAAATGGTTTGTGGCACAAGTTAAACCAGGCATCCCCAAATTTGGCCCTCCAGATGTTTTGGGACTACAATTCCCATCATCTCTAGCCACTGATCCTGTTAGCTAGGGATGATGGGAGTTGTAGTCCCAAAACATATTGAGGGCTGAGTTTGGGGATGCCTGATTTAAACCCTCCACCCTTCGCTTCCTACAGCTGTTTCTTAGCAAATAGAAAGTTGTAGAGGAATCAAGTCATAGATCTTGCATTTTCTATATAGTTTGGTTCTTAGTTCCTTTAAAAGTGAGTGGTTGAGAAAACAGGCTATTTGTTGAAAGCTGTCATTTTTTTTAAAAAAAAGTCTTTGTTTTGTTTTAGTTGGTTTTTCATCATACTAAAACTTGTTTAGAGAAATGTTTACTTAAGTTTGACCTGTCTTTAAAGCTGCTCTGACTAAAAGAAAGGGGGGGAGGGGAACAGAAACAGGAAAATCATCAGAGTCCCATGGCACCTTAACCACTAACAAGTTTTGCACACCTTTGGCAGGCAAGAGCCTACTTCAGATGCATGAGCAAGAGCAAAACAGGAAATGTAGTTCTCACATGTTTCTAATGGCTCCAATATGTGAACATTACTCATTGTGGATTCTCCCCCAATTTAAGCATTTATTCTATTTATACCCTGCCCTATCCACTGAACTCAGAGCAATGTACGGCAATTTCAGTAGAACGAACATTTCCACTGTTTATGCAGGACTCACAGTCTTAATAACGCTGCAGTCCTAAACCCACATCTGGAAGTAAGAGTCATTGAACTTATGGGGTTTACTTCCAATTAGGTATGTATAGATGGGGACTGTAAATATTGGACATGAATGGCTTATGGAAAGAAGGCAGAGAGAGGGGGGGGGAAAGAGGGGGGGAGAGAGAGAGAAAAAAAAAAGAGAGAAAAAGAGGGAGCGAGGGAGGCCTGTGGATGGGTGATTCCCATGTGCAGAAGATTTCCCACTGACATGTTTGGAGTTACACTGCCTCTGAAGGAATGGTTTCATAGTTTCGGGATAAAAAGGTAAAGGTAAAGAACCCCTGACAATTAAGTCTAGTCACGAATGACTCTGGGGTTGCGGCACTCATCTTGCTTTACTGGCCGAGGGAGCCAACATTTGTCCACAGACAGTTTTTCCAGGTCATGTGGCCAGCATGACTAAGCCACTTCTGGCGAAACCAGAGCAGCACACGGAAACGCTGTTTACCTTCCAGCCAGGGTGGTACCTATTTATCTACTTGCACTTTGAAGTGCTTTTGAACTACTAGGTTGGCAGGAGCTCGGACCGAACAACGGGAGCTCACCCCATCGCGGGGATTTAAACCGCCGACCTTCTGATTGGCAAGCCCAAGGATCAGTGGTTTACACCACAGCGCCACCCACGTTCGGGGATACTCCTAGACAAAAAAAGAACAAGTTATTAATTCAGTGCAAAATTAATTTTAAATAGCAGCTTGTTCATATTGATGTTCTTGGTGTTGGTGTTAACCTTTAAAGCCCTAAATGGCCTCAGCCCAGTATACCTGAAGGAGCGTCTACACCCCCATCATTCTGCCCGGACACTGAGGTCCAGCGCTGAGCGCCTTCTGGCGATTCCCTCACTGCAGGAAACAAAGTTACAGGGAACCAGGCAGAGGGCCTTTTCGGTAGTGGCGCCCACCCTGTGGAACACCCTCCCATCAGATGTCAAAGAGATAAACAACTACCTGACATTTAGAAGACATCTGTTCAGGGAAGTTTTTAATGTGTGACATTTTAATGTATTTTTAATCTTTGTTAGAAGCCGCCCAGAGTGGCTGGGGAAACCCAGCCAGATAGGCGGGGTACAAATAATAAATTACTATTACTATTACTACTCGGTGCCACCTATATTGATTTATATTTAAATTTTCCTGCCACGTGTGCTTTTAGGAAATGCCTTTCAGTTCTGCATTTGCAGAATTATGAAGCTGAATGGTAGTTCTTTTCTTGTTCAGCAGATGGCGCTTCAGATCATTCTTACGATGAGAACCCCGTTTTATTCTACAGTTGAAAACTGGCTGCAGAAAATAGTTCCTAGAATCATAGAATTGTAGAGTTGGAAGGGACCATCCAGGCCAAAGTGCAGAAATATGCAGCTGCCCCGTGTGGGAATCAAACCTGTGACCTTGGCACTATCGGCACCACACGCTAAACAACTGATCTGGCGGGTATCTTTTAGAATATGTAATAACAGACTATTCCAGATACAGCATCAAACTCTCTTACTATTGAGTAAGCATGCGTAGGATTGCACATTGCATGCCTAGAAGTAATCTCTGTTGAGAACAGTGGAGTTTAGAGTGCAGTGGCTGTTGATGGAGTGGGGAGGGCATGGGATTGCTTGCAGTAGAGACTCCTCTGGCCTGCAGAGGAGTACCACTAGTTGGCCTGCAGAGGAGTACCACTCCTCTGGCCTGCAGAGGAGTACCACTAGTTGGGTGGGCCTGCCACAGCGGGGGGTTCTTCTAGCAGAAGTAGCAGTCAGAGAAGCTCAGAACAGGGTGTTGTGGGTAGCCTGGGGACAGGGTACCAGAAGATTTGCTGGATCCAATCCCCCACAGATCAGGCCCTTCTGCTATGCTAGCTTGGAGCTGGGGTAATGAAAAATCACAATAAGCCTTACTGCTCTGGCTAGCATGGTGAATCTGCTGCTCCAGTGCAGTTGGAAGGGACCCCAAAGCATCATCTAGTCCAACCCCCTGCAATGCAGGAATCTCAGCTAGAGCATCCTTGACAGGTGGCCATCCAACCTCTGGTTAAAAACCTCCAAGGAAGGAGAGTTCACCACCTCTCATTGGAGTCTGTTCCAATGTTGAACAGCTCTTACTGACGGAATCTCCCATCTTGTAACTTGAATCCTAGCCTCCAGAGCAGAAGAAAACAAGTTTGGTCCATCCTCCGTGTGACAGCCCTTTAGATAGTTGGTGATGGCTCTCATATCTCTTCAAATTGCTACTCTTCAACTTTCCCAGGAGGAAAGGTTATAGCAATTGTGTTTGGTTTTTAAACAAAGTTTTAAAAGAAAGCTGAATAAGAGGGTACATGGTAGAGGTGAGTGTAAAAAAAAAAAGTCTGCCTTAAAATAAAGCTTTGTTGTAATGGTGAATCCTTAAAAAAAGAATTTAGAAATTGAATGAAAGCAGTTAGAACCGTTTAGAAAAGCAGAGGCCTAATAAGCAGCTCCCTGGAGCATTCAGCGGATTCCTGCTCAGCCTTGACAAACATGGAATCTTACTTTGGGTGGTTTCGAAATCCATTTGTGTAAATAACTTGGAATGCAACGGCCAGTTTGTTGTCTGCTGAGCTTACATAACCTTTCCCTGCGTTGGCAAAGGCTGCTGAGCCCAGATCAAGTCCAAATAGATGCCAGTGTTTCTAGAATAAGGAGGTTTCATGATCCAGCTGCCATGCATCTGCTGGAGAAGTTGTTGTGACTGATAAGAGGAACATATGCTCATGTCACATGTTGCTAGGAAAGGGGCATAGATAAACAAGGAGGTTTTTCTTCTGTGTTGTTTAATTGCACCTCTCCTTTTCCACCCAGTTAGCCAAAACCAGGGGTGGGGGGAGTTTATAACCTGGTCCAATTTTTCTCACTCTCACACACAACATGTATACATGTATGTAGGCTAGTCACCTGTAATGCCTGCCACATGCATGCCCCGTTGCTGAGTAACTGAAGGAGTCTGGAGATGCTCAAGGCAAGACCACAACATTATCCATATTTCCTCCTTTCTCCTCTTCTTCTGTAAAAATTTAAATTTCAGGCTTCTCTGGATGGAAGCCCCCTTTAGTTATGTAAGGCACCATATACACTGATGACATATATTTATTTCTATGGGGGTGAGTATGACTAAAGCCAAGCGCCACTGTGTCTGTAGATTTAACAGTTCCAGTAATAACATTGTAGTACTTGGGGAAGTTGAGACAGCTTCACCCTAACAAGTTTTTCAGGCATTGTGAGTGCAGTAGAAAAGGAGTGTGCCGCTGTTCCAAATAGGATGGGACACAATTTCATTTGTCTTCTTACACTAATGAATTAATTACAGTTTGATTTTTTTTTTTAATGGGTAGATAGGGATACGGACATGTTGGCAAAACTATTCCAGAGGTTAACGTTTGTGTCTCAGGGATCCATGTATGCTCCTGATCTCTGCCCTTATATTCTTTACATTGCTGTTGAAATGTCTTCAAGTATTTAAATTATCTTGAAATTCTGAATCTTAACTTGGAAAAAATGTAAACACATATGTGAAAGGAACAAGTTCTTAAATTCTATGCTACCAAAGTGAGTCTGTTAGTTAATACTCTTGTAAATTGGTCATATCCAATGTGGTTAAACTATGGAACTCTCTCCCACAGGAGGCAATGATAACCACCAACTTAGATGGCTTTAAAAGAGGTTTAGACAAATTTATGGAGGCTAAGTCTTAATCAATGGCTACTAGCGATGATTATGTTTTGCGTTCACAGACCTTGGACCTTCCACAGCCAGAGGGAGCATGGTTCCAAATACCAGTTGCTGGAGATCACAGAAAGGGAGTGTGCTCTTGTACATCCTCAGGTCCTGCTTGTGGGTTTCCGACAAGGCACCTGGTTGGCCACTGTGAAAACAGGATGCTGGACTAGATGGGCCATTGGCCTAATCCAGCAGGCGGCTTTTATGGTGCCTTCTGGATCTTGTTGGATTCCAACTCTCATTGGCCCCAGTTTGAGGGTCTGATCTTTCCACCAAGGAAATCCCCAGCCCAATTTAGGAGACAGTGGTTGGGGTAGGCAGAGCCCAGTGCCCTGACCATAGCTGTCAACCTTCTCTTTTTTGGCGGGAAATTCCCTTATTCCAGCGCTGCTTCCCACTGCTATCCTGGATTGTTAGATATCCCATAGACTGTCCCCGGGACAGGTGAGGCTGCTGATCCCTTATTTTTGAGGCTGCTGATCCCTTATTTTCAAATCTGTTGACAGCTGTGGCCCTGACCAATGTAGGAATCATCCCTCCCTTGTGATCAGAGCAGTCATTTGAGCAAAGAGGGTTTGTCAGCTGTTCTGCGCAGATACTGGGCTGACTTGCATAAATAAATAGTGAAGCTCAGAGCAGATTATGTAAAATCTGCATAACTTTGGGAGGAAAGCTATGAATTTAATAAGTAATAAATAAGCTCTTACCGCTTTTCTCCACAATAACTGGTGTCAAGGTCACTTAAAGTGCTCCTTCACTTGTCGTACATTTTGTAAGAAAAGCAGGGTATAAATCTTTTTAAAGTAACAAAACAATGCAATGTTGAGAGCTAATAAATATAAACGTATCTTTTTATGTAGCTTGTACGTCTTGTATGTACGTTCTTGCAGCAACGAACATATTGTTGCCTTGAGGTCTAATCTGATGAAGCATTTAAGTATTCTCTGGTGACAGCCAACTGAAACTCTTAAAATGAAACCAGAATGATATATGTTGATATGAGATTGCATAACCGTTCACATGACTGTATGACTTACCAATAATTGTGTGGGATGGCAGCTTTCTCAAGCAGATGCTATCATTGTCCACTAACATTGGGATATCTGCTGTATCTTAAGAGCAGATTTACTGGTAGGTCCAATAAGATTCCTTGCCTTATATTGCCACATATGCTCATGTTTGTAATTATATTTTGGGAATGAATCATGTTATTATGTAGCTGCATTGTTTTATACTTCCTCGATGCCCCACAATCATATTATAAAGTAGTTGCATTCTATATTAGCACTGCTAGGAGTTGTTTCTTTTTGTTTTCCAATGTATTTCTTGCCAATAAAAAATTCAGTGTGGTGTGAGCAAATTTTTATTCTGAAAGTGTGGCCCAGAGAAAAAAGTTTGAAAATCACGGCTCTAGCGGAAACTGGTGCAACCAGAAATAGGACTTGTCCTTCTTTTCTCTCCCCACTCCCTCAACCTTCCCAAATCTGCTTAAGAAGGTCAGGAGAACCTTCAGAACAGAGGGAGGAGAAGGGTGATACTTCCATCCAGCAAGCAGAAATGCCTTTTGGAGGTTTGGAGATTTTGGCTGACTAGTAATTTCCTAGCTATGGGGAGAGTTGATAAGCTGTAACTGTCCCTAGTTCTCTTAAAGACTCCTAGGTATCTTAGAAGTTGGGAGAAAGTAAAGAAAAGAAAATATACTTTATTTTGGTAAAGCTTCTAGTTTGAAAGCGTAGTGTTGCCTGCCACCCCATTCTCTGCCAAGTAGAAGCCAGATTCCAGGCGGTTTTAGGTGCCTGGTTGGTTTCCACTGGAAAATCAAGGCACAGCGGAGTCTGGAGTGTCTTAGAAATATGATTTATTGACACATATTTTCACCTGGAAAGCTTAAGTGAAGGGAGTACACCCAGGAGGGTCTTTTGTTTCTCCCCTCACAGCTTCAGCAAGCTTGGGTTCAAAGCAGCAGCCAGTCATGGACTGGACTGCAGTACCCAGTGAGATATTATCCTGAGTAACTCACCTCAAATTCATACACTTTGCTTGCTTATCATTCTGCATACGGTTCATTCATTTGCAAAGATGAGCTACATATGAATAGATCTTTTAATGAAAAATCACTTATAAAGACTTCCTCCCTCTCCTGTCATTGCCAAGTAGTTATGCACCTTCATCCTATCAAACAAGACTGAATTGCTGCAGCAGCTCTTCCCTAATGCAGAATACACAAATTACCCATGTGTCCTAGTTCCAAGTACGTATCTGATTGTGTTGGAGGATGTTACAAAAGAAATAGCCGCACCTAGACAAGGTATTGATTGATATAATGACTCATGAGCTCTCTTAATTAGCTAGTGAGATAAAGTTAAGCAGTTCAGCACCACAGGTCTTTCAGATACCGAGCTGCTTGGTGGATTATCTTGATACATTTCCCACAGAAAATGCATTTCATTCACTGACCTAAAATGAAACATGGATTAGTTGAGAACCAGTCATTTACATCTGTGAAATACTTAATGCTTTCCAACAGCAATGAAAACAAGCAAAAGAGTCTTGGCAATTAATTTTTGAAATCCCTGTTTTTATGTGAAGAACCCTAGATATATTAGACTCATATACTGCCTGGAATGCAGTAGCTGGTTCTCATGTAATGAATTGGTATGCATGTATTCTTCAGAGGAGGCTAACCTTGCTATGTTTGTGTAGAGGCAACAGCTACACTGTTGTCAAAGGACATCCTGGTGCAAGGGACAAGTTTCTTGTACCATTTAGCAGCTGTATAAAAAAGGGAAATATGCACTGTTCTCCCCACTCCTGTCTGAAGTTGCAATTGGTAAAAAATATCTCTCTCTGCTAAAACGTGACCCAGACATCTTCTATAGTTTTGCAGTTAGATGCCTGTCCTGAAATATCCACCCCTTTATCAATAACACCACTTCTGTTATCCCTCAAGAATGATAAACTCTCTTTTGGGGGGAACATAGTCCTATTCTGGGATTTGGAAACACAGTCATAATGTTTTCCCCCTTTTTTAATTTTAAAGCATGCACAAGCTTTATCCAGAAAAATCCAGAAAAATGGTTGTGGTTATATAGCTATAATACATTTTTACAGTGCTTTGATAACAGCTCATGTGTGAAACCTCTCTGTAGAATGTAGGTCAGATCTGCAAACCATGCAAAAGGTTGGGCAGTGTTGAGAAGCAACCACACCTTCAAGTGAGCACTCAAAACTTTGTATTGTTTACTTAGTGTTTCTTCATCCCTCTGTAGAGAAAATGCTTCAGTATCTTTCATATTTAATGCTCTTCATTAATGCAAACTAGGAGGTAGTTCCAAGAATAAGGAGCAGAATCTTATTCAGAGACATACACAAATAACCCTACAGAAGATAACTGGAATATGCACCACATGCAGCTATAGCTGTAAGCAATTTAGATCAACATGTCACTAGCCATTTGGTATATCATTTGGTGCATCTCCTCTCCCCCCCCCAAAAAAAAATCAGTTGAGACTGCACCTGAGCTGCTTAATTGATATCACTACTGATGTTTATCTGCTGGAAAGACACGGTACAGGTAAAAGTGGAGGACAGAGATTAGTAGTTGTTAAAAATTCGGGTGATGAGTGACTTTCTTTTTGTTTTCTTCTCCGTGTGATAATGTCCTGTGTATTTCCTGTGACAAAGATGGCAGCAATCAATTGGACTTTATTGTATAAGCAGCTTATTAATTAACACAGCTTTCAAAGTCTATTGAACTTTGTGTTCAGTGCCACTGAAAAGAGTGTATTTTCACTTCTGAGAGATTTAGAAAACTTACTCTGGGGAGCAGACGACAAGTTTGAAAATGCACAAATTTTTTTTGGCTCTAGTTAATTAAAGAGGTGGTATAGCTGGTGAACCAGCTCAAGGCGGTAAAGACCCTCCTAGAGACAGCTGCCACGTGGGCAGCTAGGAATAACAACTAACACAATGGTTCTTTTACATCATAAACTTGGCCATTTGAACTCACCCTCAAATCTGGATTTAGTTCCATTTTATCCACTCTCATCTAGTTTTATTGGCAAGGCTGTTTTTTAATGTACAGACTTGTTAGCAAGAGTAGTGAAAACAGGAGGGTCCCTCTGAATTCAGTTAAATGTTATTACGTATGGAATCAGAGAAGCACCTGCCCTGTTGGATGAATCATCTCAGGTAAGATAACTGGGTGGTATGTAAATCAAGAGTAGATATTCCCTTCCTCTGACAACCGAATGTGGAGAGTTCATCTCATGTAGTTCGCGGTTTGAAGTTGGTGCCAGTGCCTGCTTTGAAAGCAGAAATTACAGCCCGCTTCTCTCCTTCAGTTAATAAGTCTGAAAGTAAAGATGAGGTCTGTAATGTTAAGCTTCCTTTGAGAGAAGACTCTGCTTTTTCCTTTCTCTTTTTTTAATCTAAATTAGCTTCTTTTATCTTACTGTATCACAAAAAGCTTTCTCAAAATCTTATTTAAAAACCCAAACTTACTTCAAAACCTGTTATTACCCACAGCTGCAGATAATTACATATTTTATTGCACAAATTAGCAACATATATATATATATATAACCACCTTCCTACTAAAGACCCCTGTGCTCTTTAAAAAGCTGGGGTTTGTTGGCCTATCCCAAGCTGTGGGGCCTGGGCAGGTTGCAGCAAGCTGAGAGAATACAGAATTCATGCATTATAGGTGCTTTTGCTGCATCCACCTAGAAAGCACTTTCCAATATCAACCCTAAGTGGCAAAAGAAATCTTATGAAACTTTCTCTCCCCTTATGTTTTTGTCTAAAACGGTTCATGCCTAGAACAAGTTGTAAATGGCTGTTCATGGTGTTGGATTAGACAGCCCTAAAGGTATCTTTTCATTATCCAAGCAAAGGTGATATGGGCAGGAGGCAAAGAAACACATAATTAGTTTTGCCTAGTCAAGGCAGGTGTCTGTCCCCAAAACAGTAGCCCAAGGCAAAACACTTCAAAACAGCTAAATAGTGTGGAAACTACCCAAGTATGGTGAAGACTGGGGCAGGATAAGACCACTGGGGCTCACATGCAAGCTGCTCTGCGCTCCCAAATGGAAGAGTAGGATATAAGTACAATAATCAACCGAATTAAGGGGGTATCAAAAGATAATATAGCATGATAAAGGTCAGTTAGGGAGCAATGTCTCTTCAACAGTTCCTAATTAATCTTCACCTAAAGAAGCAAAATGGGCAGAACCTATATATTGTAACTGATCAATAAATACTGTTTTTATCAGTGTTACAATACAATACAATACAATACAATACACACACACACATATGTTTATAAAAGTATTTCTGTGCCGCCATATCGTAAAACATCAGGGCAATGCACAACATTAAAACATGAAATACAATTTAAAAAAATAAAGTGATTGGCTAATCAAAAATCTAAAAATTAAAGAGCCATTAAGGACTGTCGGCATAAAAAGCTGTTCAAGAGAAGCCTGAAAGTCAAGGGTACCTGCTGGATCTCTGTTGGACGATGTTCCATGACGTGGGAGCAACAACACGAGCAGAGGCTCATTAGGCCTTAATATTACCACTGTAAAACACACAATTCTTTTTTTAAAACAGAACTAAAACAAAACCCCACATACGATCAGTTAAGTGCTAGTTACTATAATAATAATAATAATAATAATAATAATAATAATAATAATAATAATTTATTATTTATACCCCGCCCATCTGGCTGGGCTTCCCCGGCCACTCTGGGCGGCTTCCAAAAGAATATTAAAATACTATAATACATCAAACATTAAAAGCTTCCCGAAACAGGGCTGCCTTCAGATGTCTTCTAAAAGCCTGGTAGTTGTTGTTCTCTTTGACATCTGGTGGGAGGGTGTTCCACAGGGAAGGCGCCACTACCGAGAAGGCCCTCTGCCTGGTTCCCTGTAACTTGGCTTCTCGCAGTGAGGGAACCGCCAGAAGGCCCTCAGTGCTGGACCTCAGTGTCCGGGTAGAACGATGGGGGTGGAGACGTTCCTTCAGATATACTGGACCAAGGCCGTTTAGGGCTTTAAAGGTCAGCACCAACACTTTGAATTGTGCTCGGAAACGTACTGGGAGCCAATGTAGGTCTTTCAAGACTGGTGTTATGTGGTCTCTGCGGCCGCTCCCAGTCACCAGTCTAGCTGCCGCATTCTGGATTAGCTGTAGTTTCCGGGTCACCTTCAAAGGTAGCCCCACGTAGAGCGCATTGCAGTAATCCAAGCGGGAGATAACCAGAGCATGCACCACTCTGGCGAGGCAGTCCGCAGGCAGATAGGGTCTCAGCCTGCGTACCAGATGGAGCTGGAAAACAGCTGCCCTGGACACAGATTTGACCTGTGCCTCCATGGACAGCTGTGAGTCCAAAATGACTCCCAGGCTGCACACCTGGTCCTTCAGGGGCACAGTTACCCCATTCAGGACCAGGGAATCCTCCACACCTGCCCGCCTCCTGTCCCCCAAAAACAGTACTTCTGTCTTGTCAGGATTCAACCTCAATCTGTTAGCCGCCATCCAACCTCCAACCGCCTCCAGACACTCACACAGGACCTTCACCGCCTTCACTGGTTCTGATTTGAAAGAGAGGTAGAGCTGGGTATCATCCGCATACTGATGAACACCCAGCCCAAATCCCCTGATGATCTCTCCCAGCGGCTTCATGTAGATGTTGAAAAGCATGGGGGAGAGGACAGAACCCTGAGGCACCCCACAAGTGAGGGCCCAGGGGTCTGAACACTCATCCCCCACCACCACTTTCTGAACACGGCCCAGGAGGAAGGAGCGGAACCACTGTATAACAGTGCCCCCAGCTTCCAGCCCCTCAAGACGGTCCAGAAGGATGTTATGGTCGATGGTATCAAATGCCGCTGAAAGATCCAGCAGAACTAGGAAACAGCTCTCACCTTTGTCCCTAGCCCGCCGGAGATCATCAACCAGTGCGACCAAGGCAGTTTCAGTCCCATGATGAGGCCTGAATCCCGACTGGAAGGGATCCAAATGGTCCGCTTCTTCCAGGCGTGCCCATTCTTGCCCATGTAACATTCATGCGCTGCCTGTTTACTTTTAGAAGTGTTGACATGATTTATGCTATAAATTCAAAAATGTTGTTTCAGCAGTATATTGAAGAAGGTGGGTTGGGACACAAAGTTACTTACATATGATTTACTAGTTCAGAGGTTGTTAGGACCTGAGCAAATGTGCATAGTTTGTGATTTACCAAACTTGAAAGTAGACAACATAATATTCAGTTCCACTTGCTTCAGATTACAGATTGTTAGCAATGGTACATTAGTTTGCTGACACCAGGATATGTGTGTTATCAACAATATTTTCTTGTCAATTGCTTTTTGAGATATGTCTGTTCTTTTTAATTTTGTTTCCCATTGACTCCCCTCTATTGCCAACCCCTGAATGTGTATATGTGTCTGTCAGTTTTGGATTACATACATCTAATGAGGTATACTCTGATCTACAGTTGTTTATGAGAAATTGGTTAGTGTCTGTGGTAGACACTATACCATGATATGGTATAGTGGTCACATGATGTGGTTGGTCACATCCTGTTTTTTTCCTAATCACAACCAGGCAGGAAAACTAGGTGATTTATCAAGCTCCTGGTGAGTTGCCATAAATAGCTGTTGGCTACATTTAGCCTCCTATTATAGTTAACAGAATACTGCAGTCATAAATTATGTACATATTAGATACGTATACAATATGCAGTTGGATAAAATATTTGTGACTTGTGATAGATTCCATTAAAAGAATATGAATGCAGTTATGGGTGTTTATATTGGTTGATTTCAGTTGCATAAAGGTTATTATTAAAATAACTTATGGCTAGATTTATAGTTACTTAATTTTATATCGTTATCCAGATTTATATTCATACCCGCTGCTACAGGGAAAGTCACTCAGTGAGTTTCATGACTGGGCAGGGATTTGAACCCTGGTCTCCCAGGGTTCCAACACTCTTAGTCCAACACTCTTAACATCAGGTATTTTGAGTTTCTACAAATGCATGAGCGAAATCATGATCATGCTCTTTAAATTAGTCTGTTTAAGTGTTAAATACACCTCACAGTTGGTCAGAATACAAAGACCGGTGGAATTTTCCTTTGAGCCAAAAGGAGCTTAGCAGTGCAATACCAAGCAAGTCTAAATTCTGTTGGATTGGGTATAGTATTACAGCCTTGTTTTTCTTCATGAGTGTGCGTAGTATGGTTTTAATTTCTGTTACACTCTATAGACTCTGGGGAAAGGCAGGATAGGAATGTTTTAAAGCAAATAAGTAGCAAAATGCTGTTGAAATTTCAAAGTTGTATGTGTTGTATATGATGTGATAAAATTCAGAAATGTTATTAGGCTAGCCTCTTGCAGGAGTGTCAATAACTCTCTGGATTCTTGCTAGTCTCTTTCAATCACACCAGGAGCAGCCAGTGCAGTGCAGCATGGATGTGGACACACCCTTCTGACAGTCACATCACTGCCACTTACCAGAACAGTGTGAAGGCAACGAAGGGCAGTGGTGCCAGTACAGTGCACACATGGGTGTTTTGAGAGAGGTGAGAGGTTGGGGTGAACTTTTAATAAATTGGAGGGAGGTTCACATGGTAAGCTTAAAGTATGTTTTATTACAAATACAGTGTGGAAACATCTGAAAAGGCTTTCTCTAAAATTGCCAGTAGTGAAAAGAGCATTAAAAAGATACCAGTGTCTACTCTGGCAGTGTGTGATTAATTTTGTTTGTTGCTTTGTGTGTTATGTCTAGCAGGTATTAAAATTGTTTTGTTATTTATTGTATTTCACTTAGAGACCTTTGTTAATGTGCTGGCATACATCTCTCTCTCTCTCTCTCTCTCTATATATATATACATACATACATACATACATAGTTAAGTACTTCACTGTGAGATCATCATATTTCTATTTTGGTAGGTATTAGTAAGTCTAGCACTACAAAACCATCATGCCAAAACGTCTTTAGTTAGCCCATGCAATCCTCTTCTTCCGTATATATAAATCTGCAGTGAATGGTGCTGAGCATGAGCAAAGAGTACAGATCCAAGAAGCCGCCAGGGTGGCACTGGATGCTGCTGCACATGAATAATTCATTCGATACATACAAACCTAGGTGCAGATTTAGTGAGGCACATGTGTATCCAGGTGGCCATTTGACTGCACTTCAAACCTGTATAAAGTGATGCTCCCCAACACAAAATAGATGAAAAAATGCATCCAAATCCTGTATTACATACATCTAACACAGTTAATCATGAACTGAATCTGGCAACCATGCAAAGGGCGGCAGGGAAGAGTTTCTGCATAGCAGTGGAAAGTTCTTGACTTATGATTGCATGTTTAGCTCTGTGTACACAGTGATATAAGAATATGTGCTTCAAGAATAACCAGTGTTATGCAAATAGAGACAGGCTATAATAATAATTTTTCTTAATTAGTTTTCCAAGCAAGAAGAGATTAGCTCCACCTACTAGAGTTAAAAGTATTAGGTGTATTAATTAGCCATCTTATACTCTGGATAAGGAGTGTTTTATGCTACATACAAAATAAGCCATGAAACCAATTTCACCCTGACATACTTTCTGACAGAAAACTAAACTTATGGCTGCTAGTAATATGCCACTAATGAAAGTATAGAATTACATTTGCTTGTTGATGTCAAGAAGGAATTATTGTGGCATTCTGGGTGTTTTTGTCAAGTTATCATCTATTTACGCCTGCTCATTATTTTTCTCCCTATAGGACGTGTGTACCATTATTGTGGGGATGCGGGTGGTGCTGTGGGTTAAACCACAGAGCCTAGGACTTGCTGATCAGAAGGTTGGAGGTTCGAATCCCCGTGACGGGGTGAGCTTCCGTTGCTCGGTCCCTGCTCCTGCCAACCTAGCAGTTCGCCAGAAGTGGCTTAGTCATGCTGGCCACATGACCCTTGGCCAATAAAGCGAGATGAGCGCCGCAACCCCAGAGTCGGTCACGACTGGACCTAATGGTCAGAGATCCCTTTACCCTTACCATGATTGTATGGTACAAAAGACAGGACATTTCCGCCCCCTGCCACAGGTTCCTAGGTTACATATTCACTACAAAGGTCAAGCAGCTCTCTGAGGGCACAGTAAACCACAGAAAAACAGACCCTTGCATCTTTAGTTTTTGCTCCTGCTGTTTTAGGCTTAAAACTACAAATTAAGTGGGCTTACATGGCTTTTTTATATTATTATTCTTCACTGCTTATATGCTAAAAAGGCTTTTCTCTGCCATCTGTTCATGTTCTTTGCACAATGCAACCGTTGTGCAGCTAGTTGCAACAGAAAGCTAGACTTTTTAACCCATGGATAGGAAGATAGAGACAGTGTTTCTTTTCACTGTGTAGATGAGAAAAGCAGTTTGGGGTGGGTGGCTGTGCGAGCTTGAATAAACAAAGGGTTATGTCACACTGCACAAGCTTCTTACACATATTTTTAATTTCGAAAAGGAAAGGGTAGCCCCCACGGGTCTGACTTAGTCTGTGTTAGTCGGCGTCCTTTGTTTCCTGTGCTACTTTTGAAGCATCTCTCGCTCCACACCGAGAGGGGAGTGGGACAGGGGGTCGAAGTCTGCAGAAGACGAGGGCTTTTCTGCAAAGCTCTTGAAGGAGCCTGGGGTGGGAGGGAGGATCGTTCCAGCGAGCCTCCCAGAGATGAGCTCTTCTCTCTTGGGTTCCGCCATGCATCCTCTCTCCAAAGGGAGATTGCTGCAGGCTTAACCATAACCTTGTGCTGACCTTGGCAGCCTTTGATCCTTAAGTGTGAATTGAAAACTGTAAAGCTGCAATTCCAGACACGTCTACTCGCAATTTCCCCTCAATGAGCAAAGGGATAATTGCTTTTGTTTCTTTTAAGAGTACACATGGGCAAGAGGAACAAGATGTTTTGCTGCCGTTTCTCCTCTTCAACCCTATAAGCCTTCCCGCCCTGTATCCCGCTTCCAGCTTTCTCCTGCGGGCTCCTCAGAGCCCTTTGCCAAACCACTTTTCTCTTCACACCCTTTACCCTTCGTGACTCCTCCTCCTCGCAAGCTCTTGCTTTTCGGCATGTTTTCCCCGCCTCTAACTCGCCCGACTCCCAATAAGCATTCGAGAGGGGCTTCGGCGAAGAAACCTCCTAGCCAATCGGGACTGAGAAAGGCGGGGCTATGCTGAAGGCAGTTGGCGTGCCTCGGGTTTGCTTTCATTCTCGGATTCTCTGCCGCCTCGGAGGTGGACCGGGAGGCTTGTACTTGCTGGTCGCGGGTGTGTGTGTGTGTTTGTGAATCGCGCTCCTCAGCAGAAACTCGCCTCCCTCACAGGAGCTCGTCGGTGCCGAAAGTCGTCGCGCGTCGCAGCAGGAGTCTCGCCCAAGTGGCACAAAATGGCGGGCTGCCGAGACAATGCAGCGGAGCAGATGAAGCGCTGGCAAGATCTGCGGGGCTCGCAGGTACAGAAGGGACACCCACCCCTCATAAAGCCATTGGCACGTTCCACCCCGCGCTCGGTCGCTACGTATCGGGTCTGCATTCAGCGGGCTGTTCGGCGGGCGCGACCACGTTCTGAAAGGCGGCGGGGGTGTGCGAGCAATGTTGAAGGGTATGGGACTTCTGTGGCTCTGACATTATGGCAGGCGTAGCTTTCGCCGCTCTGTAGTGTTGCAATGCCATATGCCAGCATTGTTTGCCCCGAATCCCCTCTCCAAAAGTAGGAGCGGCGGAGGAGCTCTTGTCCAGCGTTGCTATCTGTCCCTCTTGTGCAGCATTGCACTTTGGAAGGGGCGCTGCTAAGTAGGTTGTGCAAAGGGTGACAAAAGTGCAAGCTTGAAATGCACCTAGCCAAGGATTTCTGTTGGCATCATGGATCGACGATCGGATAAGAAAATAATACTGTTGCCCTTTGGGCTGTGTTCCTGTGCTGCTTTTGCTGCAAAAACAAAATTTAACATCCATAATCTCTGGAGGTTGGGATTGGTTTGTTTATCATGGCACGCAGCACCAGCTGTCTGCCAAAAACGTTTCCATTGCTAAAGGGTGGAGCAGTTCGCAAAGTGTTATCAAGAACTGCAATAATGCTGCAAGGTTTAATCATGATGGAAGTTGAACTTGCGAGAAACCTATCTTACTATGTTATTTCTATCAGGGAGAGTAATATACTCATTTGCAATTAGAGATACAGAGTCAAATATAGCAAGTTGTTTAGTGTGCCATTTTAGATAGAGAGGTACTAAAGTACAAGACCAGGTACAACCCACCCAAAGTGAAGCACTTCCCCTGCTCCTTTGATTTCGATGGAAGGAGCTTAAGAACATACTTAATTCCCTCACTGAGATCAATAGCAGTTGTTAATGCCAATGTGTGAATGTGTGCTGATTACATAGTTTCCTAACTTATCTGGCCAACAATAGGAAAGGCAGTAGAAAATGGAGACACAATCAGTGGCAGTAGTCTCAAAAGAAATAAGAGGGAATGCCAGTGATTTGTACAGGAATCAATATGAAATGGCACAAAGAAAAAGTAACTGAGCTCAGGGGGCTACAAGCAATGAGAGGTTAGTGAAGTGGTGAGTTGCTGGCATCTCGGGAGACAATGGAACAGTGCACCTTCAGGGGTAAAGTCACACCTCTGAAGAGTTACAGCGCCTGCTGTGTCTAACTGCTGCCTCCTTCCCTCCCACATTGTGTTTGCTGCATTGGCAGCACTGAAGTGAGCTTTCCAGGATGCAAGCCTGGGCAGTATATATGGAGGTCCTAGGCTGCCCAAATGATAAGACCCCACTTTCAGCCTCAATTGTGTGGTCCAAAGGAGAAAAGCAAACAATACATTTGGCACCAGCTGGGCTGCAGGAGTTGCCAGAAGGAGGCATACAGTGGTACCTTGGGTTAAGAACTTAATTCGTTCTGGAGGTCCATTCTTAACCTGAAACTGTTCTTAACCTGAGCTACCACTTAACTAATGGGGCCTCCCGCTGCTGCCGCGCAATTTCTGTTCTCATCCTGAAGCAAAGTTCTTAACCTGAGGTACTATTTCTGGGTTAGTGGAGTCTGTAACCTGAAGGGTCTGTAACCTGAAGCATCTGTAACCCGAGGTACCACTATACAAGAAGACATTGAAAGGGACCTTTGAAACAGGTTTCACAACCATATGTTTTTGTTATGAAGTAGCACTGAAATGTACTGGGCTGGTTAATAATTTTGTTGCAAAACATGATGGAAACTAACTGGAGCTAGTTAATAATTCTGATAGTTGGATCCTGTGGTTCAACTTGGACCATGATTTGGATTTGCATGCTTATCTTTCTGTTCTTGTTTACAGTTTCAGTATTCTCTTTAGTGCTATCCATAAACTGCTGCCCAGATTGGCAAATTATGGTTAGCCTTCATTCTCCATATTTGGATCAGAAGCCAATTTTAAGCCATAATTTCTAATTCTGACTTGGAGGGTGAAGGCTAACTATATATATATATTTGATATTGTGGTGAACTATGGTTGGTGCTAAAAAAAAGAAATGGACATGTAGGCAGTGGAGAAGAATAGGATATGTCAAATGTCACAGTTCTATAATTGCTTTGAGAGATTCCCGACCTGCCCCCAATCAAGTAGTATGTAAATTTTATGAAATAAAAATAAACAGTGATTCTTCAAACCATGAATTTGAAGCTTGTTTGAAATTAGACAATGTGATAGAAGGTATCAAGGTAATAATAATAATATGCCATCCATCTGACTGGGTTGTCCCAGGCACTCTGGGCACCTCCCAACAAAATATTAAAAATGCAGTAAAACATAAGTCATTTAATTTAGATGCAAACAGCTTCAAATACTGTTTTTACAATTTCTGTTTCTGTAATGAAGTTGTAGCCCTGGCCTCTTAGTTACTGTTTTGCAGACTAACCCATTATTGACTCATTGTTGCTGAAGACTACAGTAACTGGTCAGAGAGTAGATACAGATGAATCCTTCGTCTGATCCACACGAGCGTCAGGGCATGTCACTTTTGCTTTTTAAGAAACTCTACAAATGTAGATGAGAGTGTATGAAGGGATAGAAATTAGATCAACTTTAAGCTGTAAATACTTATTTGGCATAAGCTCCATTGAAAACAATGGAGTGCACTGTATAGCACTGTTCCCCATTTTACATAACCCACCTTTCTTCTGTCATGAATGCAGTGCAGAATACATACAGTTCACAAGCAGTCAGCTGTCCAGACACTAACCAGACTCAAACCTGCTTAACTTCAATTAAGTGGCCTCATGTGCTAGGGCATTTTGATGCTCTGAGTCTAAGTTGACTCATTGGTCCAAAAGCAAGAGCAACTTTCCAGTGGTGGGGTTTCATGTTCAAGGCTCTATATGTTGTTATTGTCTGTTTTTAAGCTCTTTTAGTTTGGGTGTGTTGTAATAGAGTGAAAAGGCATTTAAAGATAACTTACGTTTCTATCTTGAGTGATAGTATGTGTGTACTGAATTGAAATGTATCATGCATATCCTTCATCATCTCAGAAAGGCACCTATTATCTACTGGTAGTCTTTAATGTAGGGACAATCTCCTCCTGGCTTTCAGCAGGAATGTAACCAAGGGGAGCAGCTTTCCCCTCAAACCAACACTGCGGCTAGCAGTAAGCAGGCTTCTGTCATGGCATGTAATCTGACTTGCTATGACACTCTTTGAATTCTGCTACTTTCATTTTGGGGAAACAGGCAGTCTTCCAAAATGGACCCTGGGTTTGGCTCTGCATACCCTGACCCCAAAGACCTTGGAAACCACATTTTGCATTATTTCGTTCAGCTGTTTTGTGTATGATGAGCACCTTTCTGCCAGCCATGCTCTACTGCTGTTCATATTTCACACCTGCTTCCATGTTAGCTGCTCCTGTTGTTTTCCATTGGACTTATCGTATAGTATGCTATGCATGCATGTGTTAGTGTTCAAAAGTAAGTTCCACCAAGTTCAACAGCACTTACTTGCAGGTAAGTGTGTGCGGGATTTTAGGTTGCAGTCCTACATCCATGTAATTAGGAGTGCAAAAAGTATATAATAAACATTTTGGATTATGCTTCTAAGTATGTCAGTGTAAAGTTGTGTTTTATTTGTTGTAGTAACGAAAGAAGATATGCATGCAAATGGATAACTTAATTTAAATTAGATATTTAAATTTTGTCTTGCTTATTTAAACCACTAAATTAAATCACATTGATTAAAATTAGTCCACTCTGGTCCGAATACTTTTTTACACTGTGACTGTAAACTCATCTTCTGATGGAGAACAGCTGAATTTGGTTAAGAGCTTCCATCTGTCTGTCTTGGGACACAATGGAGGAGTGCGCCTTTTGGAGATGAAATCAAACTGTTGGAGAGTTACATTGCCTGTTGTGTCTATAGAACTGCATCACAAATGGGAAAATCAACTACAGCTACACCAGTGCTAAAATCAGGATCTATAGTTTGGAGGTTGAGCGATTTCTCTGTGTCTTGATATTCTTTCACAGCACCAGAGAAAGCACCGGTAACCTAAACAGTTATGGATAGAAAGAGAAAGGGGTAGAGATGGATGAAAGGGTTAGCTCATATGTGTACTATCCAAAAAGTATGTTTGTTGCAAGCACACAAAGATGTACACACAAACACTAACATTGTGCAAGCAGAAAATGCATTGCTGTCATTTGACTCAGTGCTGATTATTTTTCAGAGTGTGGGTTACAAGTTATGTGTTTCTCTGCCAACTTTGCCATACCTAATTTAGAGCTATTAGGTGAATTGGTTATGAGTTGCTGTATAAGAAGCAATATTGTTCTTGCCTAAATCTTGTGACATGCTTTAAGTTGGTTTTCCTTTGAATACCCAACAGAGCTAAATGTTGTTTATTAGAAAACTTTTTCGATTTCACAGTGGTCACAATGTCATGGGGATAATAAGTTCACATAAATTGACAATCATTTGGAGCTTGGGCAGCCTTCATTACCAGAAACTCTTCAACAACCTCTCACAGTAACATGACTGGAGGAACTTCACTGTACAGTGGTACCTCTGGTTACGTACTTAATTTGTTCCGGAGGTCCGTTCTTAACCTGAAACCGTTCTTAACCTGAAGCACCACTTTAGCTAATGGGGCCTCCTGCTGCCGCCGCGCCGCCGGAGCACGATTTCTGTTCTCATCCTGAAGCAAAGTTCTTAACCCGAGGCAATATTTCTGGGTTAGCAGAGTCTGTAACCTGAAGCGTATGTAACCCAAGGTACCACTGTACCCTTAATGATATCTCTAATGAACCACTGTGGAGTACAGAAAAATCAACAGGATCAGACTCTCCCTGTTTGTTTCCTGGTAAATGCCAGGAGCCAAGACAATCTCGGTTTCAAAGCTTATCCTGAAACCAGGCTGAGAAAAGATCCAGAATTACACTTATCCACCTTTAAAGATCAGACTGGAAACGTCAGCGCCAATTGCATAAATATCTAGGCTCCAACAGTGGTGTTGTTTTTTTTTTAAAAAGGAAATGTCTGCTTTCTCCAGGACCGTTGGAAAATGCTGCTGTAAGAAAGATGCCTTTACAAACACCCCGATAAGGTTGGCAAATGTTTCCTAGTTGGCCATTGCCAGTCAATATAGACATAGATCAAGAGGGCAAGTTGTGGCATGAACTTCTCCAGGCATCTTGCCTGCATCTTCATGTATTTTGCTATTACAATTCCCCCCACCCTCTCCACTTCAAACTATAGTAAGTGACACAAAGGAATTTGTCAAATGAACCTACAATTCTTTTAGATTGAAAAAAGATGTCAGATGGCGCAGAACAAGAACCAGGTCACTTAACACTGTGTAACTAAGTAGCTATTTGTAACTCTTGGCTACTAGAATCTGAATGATCTGCAAACATTTTCATGACAGTTTAGACTGAGTAACGTTTCTATAATTGTTAGCTCCTTTTAAAGAAACAGACCCTGGTTTCTGATTGCAGTGAATGCAACAAATTTTCTTTCTATGTGTGGATAAGTATAAACTGCTTTCTATCTTGCAAAGGTTCTTGCAAAGATTTCATTACATTCTAACAAATAATGTGCTTCTACTGTTTTCTTTGAAAGAGCTTATTAAATGTGAAAGGGTTATCTACCCTTAATCCTAAAGGTGTTGTGCAGTCCACAGAACATTACTTTGATACACCAGCACCCTTTTAAGGTATGCTGCATGAAACTGCACAGAAGCACATAATGCTGCTTGCCTTGTTTTATGTGACCTTAGCCATAGTCCTGTTTTACGTAAGGAATACATGATTTCACACAACCGGTTTTTATGGCATGACTGCAGTTGTCATTCAAGACAGGTTGACCAAAATACGTTGCTCCATCCGTTTCTTAACTTCTTAACTTCTAGCATCCATATTCTTAACTTCTAGCAATTCTTATTCATATTCTTCACTTATCCATATTCTTAACTTCTAGCAATTCTTAACTTCTAGCATCCATACGTTGCTCGTTTGGGAATTGACTGAAACTCCTGTCGGCCATAGCCTGTCCAGAGTAGCTTACAATGAGAGATACATATGATGGGGCTCAGATAGTAGTAGCTATTTCATGGGAGTGATGATTATCTGGATCATGACAATTGGGAGAGGGAGTTTGGTGCCAATGAAGGATTTCCTCCCAATGCAGATGGCAGCTTCAAACAAGTGAGTTTCAAAAGGATGAGGTCAAGGGACACAAAGGTTAACTTCCCATGCTACCCCCCCCCGCCCCTGATATTTTTGTTTTTGAAAAGTGTACATAAATTGCAAAGTCACAATCAGCATCATGTATAGTTTGGCTCTGAGTTTTTCTTTCTAGGAGGTCAGTTATTGCTTTTCTATTTCCATGTGTATTTTTTCTGTGGCTGCTTTTTGGAACAAACATGTCTTTAAAAATTACAACTACTAATTCTTAACTTTTAGCACACTCTTTTATCAATTTTTGGGGCTCGAATATTTCGAAGAATCTTAGAATTGTAGTTGGAAGGGATCCCAAGGATCATCTAGTTCAACTCCCTGCAATACAGGAATCTCAACTGAAGCATTCATGATAGATAGGCATCCAACCTCTGCTTAGAAACCTCCAAGGAAGGAGAGTCCATCAGCTCTCATGGGAATCTGTTCCAGTGTTGAACAGCTCTTATTGTCAGAAAGTTATTCCTAATGTTTAGTCGGAATCTCCCTTCTTGTCAGTTGAATCCATTGGTTGGGGACCTAGCCTCAGGATCAGCTGTGAAAAAGCTGGCTCTATCTTCCATGGGACATTTGAAGATGGCTATCATGTCTCCTTTCAGTCTCTTCTTTTCCAGGCTAAACATACCAGCTCCCTCAACCATTTCGTATAAGGCTTGGTTTTCTGACCCTTGATAATCTTGGATGCCGCCCTCTGCACACAACCCAGCTTCTTAAATTGTGATGCCCAGTACTGGACACAGTACTCCTGGTGTGACCTGACCAAGGCAGAATACAGCAGGACTATAACTTGATTGGGACCCTGTACTTCTGTTGACGTAGCCTAGAATAGCATTAACTGCTGCATCACACTGTTGACTCATGTTAAGCTTGTGGTCTACTAAGACCTAAATTTAAATACTGCAGTACATATTTTAATAATCGTTTCTTAATGACAATGACATATTTGTTAAAGTTTCTTCACATCTTACAATTTTCCCAAGACTAGCAGGGCTGGGTGTGCTAGAATGTTTTCTCTTTATTGTATTGGACAATGAGTACATGCGTACAATTATACTTAACAGAAAGTTAAGTATAAGCTAGAAATAACCTTTTTCTAAATGCCTTACTCAATGCCCTTAGGGTGAATGAGTATTTGTATTCGTAAGATCAAGAATCTAGGTGTAGTTCTTAATGCATGATTAAAACAACTGAGAGTTGAAAATACAATTTCCTTTTAAATACTCTGTAAAGGAGCGAAGGCACCTTTTATCCTCTGAATGGGTGGTGCCAGGGTGCTAAAACACGCCTGTGTAGTTATTCCAGAAGACTAATGTGCTCAAGCGGGTGGAGCTGTAGGTGCTGTGGGAGACACTTAAAAATTAATGCGAGGTTACTGTTGTTAATTTAATCAGCAAAGGTTGAGATAATTCACCTGGTTGTCAAGCTTGTGTCATCACTTGTTATCCTCCATGTGTCTGACTTCCAATATATTAACCACCTCCCCAAACTTCTGATACTCTCTTTTGAACCACCTGTTCTCTTTGCCAGCTGTGAATGCCAGACTTTCTATATTATTGTACTGTACTTGCATAATTTGCATTTTTTTATGGTGAATGATTCGGGACTTCTTACATTTTTCCATTAGGTTTAGTGTGTTAGACAGCTGTTTATTAAACAAAATTAACATAGGTTTTGGACCAGAAGAAGATGGCTTTAAGATAGTGCTTTAGAAACCCTATTTTGGGCATTTTATTTGTTTTAAGTGTTTATCGTTTTAAGATGATATTCTTAGTTATATTCTACCTATAAAGATGACATTTTTGTAATATGAGAAGGTATAGGTGGTTCGACCTGATTTCTTTGGAAATCAGTTTTATGAAAAGATTTAGCCTTAGGGATGGACCTAATAGCAGCGTAGTGTTCATGATTTATATTGGGAATTCAATTACTTTTCATGTCTGAGTCCATTTTGTTAAGGCAATACAGTGGTACCTCGGGTTAAGAACTTAATTTGTTCTGGAGGTCTGTTCTTAACCTGAAACTGTTCTTAACCTGAAGCACCACTCTAGCTAATGGGGCCTTCTGCCGCTGCACCACCGCTGCACGATTTCTGTTCTCATCCTGAAGCAAAGTTCTTAACCCGAGGTAATATTTCTGGGTTAGCGGAGTCTGTAACCTGAAGCAGATGTAACCCGAGGTACCACTGTATTCACATACAGTGGTACCTCAGGTTACAGACCTCGGGTTAAGAGCTTTGTTTCAGGATGCGAACAGAAATTGCACGGCGGTGGCACAGCAGCAGCGGGAGGCCCCATTAGCTAAAGTGGTACCTCAGGTTAAGAACAGTTTCAGGTTAAGAACGGACCTCCAGGACGAATTCAGTTCTTAACCTGAGGTACCACTGTAATCTGTTAAATGCTTAATACACTTTCTAAATCTGATGACATTCAAGCTTGGAGGTGCAATTGGTGCTACTCTTTTCAGTTATTTCTGCTTGAAAATCAATTTAATAATCAGAACTCTTTGAAATGATTTTCCTCCTTCACACATCTGTTGGCCATTTAACATTTAGATTATTATTATTACATGCAAATTTTACCTTTCCTAATAATTCCTGTTATGAAACACAATACTGTTTAATGCCAGAAGCAATTCTCCCTGTAGTCAGGAAGCACCATACGTCTGCCAAGTTAACCCATAAGCATTTTCACTAAATCACGAAAAACGTAATAGCACTGTGTAGTTTTTGGTGTCCTAATTTTCTTTTATTTTTCTTTTGAATTTAGAAACCAGATGCCTTGACCACCGGAGCTGGTATCCCAGTGGGAGACAAGTTAAATGTCATGACGGTGGGTCCACGAGGCCCCCTTTTGGTTCAGGATGTGGTTTTCACAGATGAGATGGCACACTTTGACCGAGAGAGGATTCCTGAGAGAGTTGTGCATGCCAAAGGAGCAGGTCAGTGTTAGAAGTTGCTTGTTGTTTTAAAAGGAAGAGGTGGAGAATTGAATATTATGAACATAACTTTGTGTACAGAAGGAACAAGGAAGCATAGAAGTTCACAAAATGTGTTTCCCTCAGTTTTGTATCTTTTGGTGCTGAATTCAGGATTATTACTATTTTTGATTAAACACAAATCTTGCACAACACACTTTTGCATATGTGGACCTAATTTAGAAAGGCAATCCAAAAACAGAAGTAAGCACAAGTCACCCTTGCTGAGTCGGGGGGGGGGGGGGGATGTACAATAACTATAAATGCTTAATTAGTTCAGTGTGCCCAAGGCTTCTTTAGAACTGCATTTGTGGAACAGCGACCTCTAGGTTGCATGATAAAAGTGTGATAAAAGTATTAAAAGTGTGGTTTGGCATAGGGGTATGGTGCTGAAAGGGGAAGAAAAGATCAAACATGCCATTAGGTGAATGCAAGTGTTTGGGCTAAAGAAGACTATTAGCTCTGAGGCAGCTTGTGAAACTGAAACAATGCTATTCTTAAAACAGGGTTATTGCTTTCTAAGGGTAAACAGAAAAAAGCAAAAAAATAAATGGTTACTTGATCGGCAACATATAATACAAATCAGTACTATAATTTCAAATCAATGTATCCTAGGTGTGTTATTCACTAGAAACCATGAAGGAATGATTGTAAAATAAAGAGTATCTTACATTAAAGCATAATAATTGAAGCAATTACAACATGGTTATCACAAGGTGATGGTAAAAGAATAAATGAAATATAAAGCTAATTGGGTTAATTAGTCCAGGTATAACAAGAAATCATAAGTGATGTGATATATATATATATCAGCAGCTTATCAAAGTTTCTTGGTTTTTGTACCTTTTCCTTTGCGTACTTGTACTTTGTACGTAGATACTGAATGCCGAAGGAAGAGGGAACTTGCCCTCACTCTCAAGTTCTGCTAAAACCCAAGGTAGAATAGTGGTATTAATACTAACCACTGCAACAATGTTCAGGACTAAAGGAGATTTTTTGAAATCAAAGCTACTCATCTCTTCCAAAACTAAGACTCCACTGCCTTTTACAGGGCATTAAAAGCAGTCATAAAACCACAACATGAAAGAGTGTATCAAATTTTAAAGCAGAAAAAAAGCATTAGCTGTGTTGTGTTGGTTTTAAAACCTCATTCAAATTAAACACAAAATCTGTGGTGTTCCAGGCTAGACAGAACTGCTTCAAAAATACAATTATGTTCCTGTTTACTTTGAATAAAGGAGCCATCTTGTGATCCATCAGGCTGTTAGACTACTGTCTGCCCCCAAGAACTGTAGCTGGAAGGAAGAACTGTAGCTGGAAGAACTGTCTCAAAAGTTTTCTAGTAAGAAGCAGACCCCCCCCCCCGTATTCACAGATGCTCTGCCTTCAGCTGTTCAGGTCCTTTGGTCTAGGCCAGGGGTCTGCAACCTTTAAGACAAAAAGAGCCACTTGGACCCGTTTCCGAAGGAAAAAAAACTGGGAGCCGCAAAACTCGTCATTATAAAAATAACTTTTTTGTCACTTTTTTATTATTTCTTTGTTTGACCCCTCAGAATTACTCCTCCTCATAGAAATAAACGTTAAATTAACAAGTTACCTTTTTGTGTGTATGTGTTCTTCACTCCCCTTCAAAACAGTGACCAGTGTACATGCCCCCTTTCAATGCAGTGACCAGCGTACATGCCCCTTACAATGTAGCGGGTGGGTGGGCGGGAAGGGGACGTCGGGATGGTGCGTGACTAACGCACGCACCGCCCCCATGCGACGTCACAGCCAGTACAGCGCCCGCCACAGTGGGGAGTGTCAGGGCGCACAATGCGCCTCCTCCCCTCGCTAGTATCCGCTCCGGAGCCGCGGCAAAGGTTTAAAAGAGCCACATGCGGCTCCGGAGCCGCGGGTTGCAGACCCCTGGTCTAGGCATAAAAGGAGAATCACTGCTTCCTGAAAAAAATTTTTTGGATCATGCCTTACATGATCCTTCTTGTTTCCCATAGCTCCCCAGAATCCAGAAGATAGGTAAATAAATTAATAATAAACATTCCCTATTTCCTGCCTGTGTGTAAAGGGTCTGTTATGGAAACTCAAGGTCTTTTGTGTCCTATAACAATGTCTCAGGGTCAAAAAGGAAATATGGTAAGGTGTACGCCAGAAAGCAGAAAAGCATCACATTATACAAAACAGAGATATTTATTCTTCCCAAACTGCACTGCCATTTCTGATATTATTACCAAAGCCCTTGATATTTAGATGGTTTGTTTGTTTCTACTTATCTTTAATTTTTAATAAAAGCAACAATTTTAAATATTTTTAGGAGCTTTTGGCTATTTTGAAGTGACTCATGATATCACCAGATATTGCAAAGCAAAGGTATTTGAGCATATTGGCAAAAGAACTCCAATCGCTATTCGATTCTCTACTGTTGGTAAGTCTTAAAAACAACAACCCCTCTTTGCATTTCCATTTTATTTGTGTCGTGTGTACACACACATTTATTAAATGGGGTCCTTAGAGGAGCTAATTTTTGTTAGACTTTATTCATTTATTATTTATAAATTTGTACACTGCTTGATTGTAAAAAAACACACACACCTCAAAGCGGTTGGCAAAAGATAAAACAGTAAAGCCGGGGGTGGGGGGGAATACAACCCTACTTTCGTATGTTTTAAAGTTAAAATACTAAAACTGATTAAAATTCCCTCAGCTTTCTGGGCACCTGGGTAGGCTTTTCTAAACAGGAATATTTTTAGGAGGTGCCAAAAAGAGTATGGTGAAGGCGTCTGTTTGATCTTGATAAGCTGAGAGCTCCAAAGTACAGGCACTTCCACACTAAACAATCTGGTGCTTAAAAACAAAGAGTTTTGCAACGGAGGAGGAAAGTGTCACATAAGGACACTACATTGCGCAGGAAACCATTGTGCAATGTCCCCTTTCCATTCAGTTCCTCTTAAAAGCTGTAAACGACAACATACACAGACGATAATCATCCTTGGAATTGGAGCGCTATAACATTCATTAGGTGAAGGCTGGGAGGACAATTTCAACATGTGATGGCCATTCCCAATATTAGAATGGATGCCAATCTCCAGGGTTGAAGGAAAACTGTGTGCAGTTCTCAGTGTGTTCACGTTTATAAACCTTCCTTTTCTAGCTGGAGAATCAGGGTCAGCCGATACAGTCCGTGACCCTCGAGGCTTTGCAATGAAGTTCTATACAGAAGATGGTAACTGGGACCTTGTGGGGAATAACACCCCCATCTTCTTTATTAGAGATACGATGCTGGTAGGTCAGGTATTTATTTGGGCACCCAAAAGAAGTTAATGGGTGGTGAATGAGAGGGAGAGAGAAAAGTGCAACATACATGGATCTGTTTCTTCCATGGGGCTTCTTTTCTAATATCAAATTGCAGTTCTTGTACACTGAGTAATAATCCACTAATATTGGGGACTCTGCTACACTTGTCAATTATATCGTTATAACTGTGTTATAAACATGTGACACCAGGTGACGCTGTAGAGCTGTGATCTGTCGCCAACGGGTTTTGCCATTAACAGCTTTTATAACACGTTTTTCTGCTTCTTTGATTCCTTTTTGATTTTAAGATTTATGATTATGTAATGGTCACAGTAGATTAATTTATACATGGAACTTATTTGCAGGTACACCTTTTCAAAGTGAACTTAGTACAAGGGACTGTGTAGATAATGCAACTACACAGTAATGCAAATCTTCTTTGTATCTTCTTTGTGTTAGTTCCCATCCTTTATCCATTCCCAAAAGAGGAATCCACAAACTCATCTGAAAGATGCAGACATGGTATGGGACTTCTGGAGTCTTCGCCCTGAGTCTCTGCACCAGGTAAGATTTACTCTTTTCATTTCTATTCATTTTTTCCTTCACCTTGCAGGTTGAGCCAGCTGTGTCTCCTTTTCGCACCCTCTGATTCAGAGACTAAAAGATTCATGTGTGAAATTACATATTCTCTTTTACATTGGTGTATTTGGTCTCTTGTGAGTGATACACAACACAACCCTTCCCTTATCAACTCTATGCCATTTTCTATAAATTTTATTCTTTAAAATGTGACAATATTTGTATCATTTACAATTGGGCAAGCTATGACTAAAACACATACCTGTCACCCATTCAAGAAAACGAATGATTGGAGGACATAAGTTTCCCCTTCCTTAAACTCACCTGAACTGTGATGGGTCTGGAAGCCTTTTGCAAGAAATACCTCTGCTCACTCAGAGATATGTTTACAGTCTTTATATACATATTATGTACAAGGTACAGAACATAGCTTCATGTGTCCGAGTCCTCGGTAGCAGATCCAAGAAGTGGGGGCTTTTGGTTCCTCTTCCAGCAAAGGAGCTTGGGAAGCCCCAGATGCCTCCTTTGTTCCCTGTGTTTTAACCCCCTCCTGTCCTGTGCTGAAGGAATGGGCACTGACTCTCCCTCTGTTCCTGAACTAGTTGAGTGGTGTTGCTGCTCTCCAGCATTTGGGAGCATTCTCACCGCTTGACTTCCTTCCTTTGGCTTGTCCTCCCCTCCCTCTCCTGTCTTGTCTAAAGGCTCCTGTTCCTCCCCCTCCCTCAGCGCCAGGTCATTCCCTGGCAGCCCCATGATATGAACATAGCTCTCCAACCCCCTCAAATGGATTATGTGGAAATGATGTATTGTACTATTGTTGCAGGTCAAAGTCATCAGGGGTGAGGGCAGAATATCATGCCAAGAATAAACCATGGTTGGAGCATTCTTTAGTGCAGAGAAGTCCACAGGTGTACCTAGCTTTAGTTAACGTGAGCTTTCATGAAAGAGAGCCTACGTAGACTTTTGTTGCTCTTGCTTTATATTTAGGTATCAATCCTGTTCAGTGATCGTGGCATTCCAGATGGACATCGTCATATGAATGGCTACGGATCACATACTTTTAAGCTAGTCAATGCTGGCGGAAAAGCGGTATACTGCAAATTCCATGCTAAGGTAATGATTTCAGTTTTCCTGTTTCGCATTTGTTAATACTAATTTCCTAAATCGCTGGACGTACCCCACACCTGGAGTTCTTACCTATTCCTACTTCAAGAAATGAAAAATGGGTACTGTAACATGTTTATCCCCTTGTAGCATCTCCATTATGCAAAGATTGAATACTGCACTTGAGATACTGGTTTAGGAGTAGTGATGCCTGCCATTCTATCCACCTCTGCATATACTGTGGTACCTTGGTTTACAGCCATAATCTGTTCCGGAGGTCTGTTTGTACACCAAAACAGGTTGTAACCCAAGGCATGCTTTCGCCAACGGGGCCTCCAAAAAAAGTTTGTTCGTAATCCAAAAAAAGCTTGCAAACCGGGACATGCACTTCTGGGTTTGATGTGTTTGTAATCCAAAACGTATGCAAACCAAGATGTATGCAAACCAAGGTACCACTGTAGGCTTCTTTCCGGTATGGCAGCTGCTTGTGCCCTCTCCCACAGCAGATCTTTAGACCAATTTTAACATTTCTTTCATCATTACTAGGATGCAATTCTTAATTTATTAATCAAAATTTCTAAGATGATTTTTTATTTTATTTTTGCAGACTGATCAAGGAATAAAAAACCTTACTGTTGAAGAAGCAGGAAGACTGGCCTCTGAAGATCCCGACTATGCTCTCCGTGATCTTTACAATGCTATTGCTAATGCAAACTACCCTTCTTGGAGTTTCTATATCCAAGTGATGACATTTGAACAGGCTGAGAAATATCCATTCAATCCTTTTGATGTAACTAAGGTAAGTGTAATTTCCATTCCTTTACCCTACATATTGGATATAATAAAAGTTCTGCATCTCTATGGAAAGATTTACCGTATTTTTCGCTCTATAAGACACACTTTTTCCCCTCCAAAAATGAAGGGGAAATGTGTGTGCGTCCTATGGGGTGAATGCAGGCTTCAGGAAGCTGTCCGCTAGCCATGGGAGACCCAGCTCTCCCACGGCTAGCGGAGACCTTGCCAGCACCCAGAAGCTTGGGGCGCGCTGAGCTCCGCACGCCCCAAGCTTCGGGATTAGCGCAGCGCTCCGCTAGCCCTGGGAGAGCCGCGCGGCTCTCCCACGGCTAGTGGAGACCTTGCCGGCACCCAGAAGCTTGGGGCGCGCTGAGCTCTGCACGCCCCAAGCTTCGGGATTAGCGCAGCGCTCCGCTAGCCCTGGGAGAGCCGCGCGGCTCTCCCACGGCTAGTGGAGACCTTGCCAGCACCCAGAAGCTTGAGGCGCGCTGAGCTCCGCACGCCCCAAGCTTCGGGCTTAGCACAGCGCACCTGGGGGGGAAATAAATTTTTTTTTCCTTTATTTCCCCCCCAAAAAACTAGGTGCGTCCTATGGGCCGGTGCGTCCTATGGTGCGAAAAATACGGTACTTGGAAACTATGTGTAATAAATTGTATTCTTGCATTTTGTAGATTTGGTCCCACAAAGACTATCCTCTGATTCCGGTGGGGAAGCTGGTCTTAAACAGGAACCCTGTCAACTATTTTGCTGAGGTGGAACAAGCAGCCTTTGATCCAAGCAACATGCCTCCAGGAATTGAACCTAGCCCTGATAAAATGTTGCAGGTAACGAGTATAGTATGCTTTCATGTTTATTTAACAGATGGTGGGCCATGGAGCACTTTTAAGAGGACTTCAATGCCACAGCCTGTTCAGTGCCTCCTCACTTGCCTGCCTCTTCCATTTGCTGTGGCATAGCCTTTTAGTTAGACCAATGCAAACATCAGCAAGTCATTGCATGATGAGGAAGGGTGACTGGTTTGGTCTGCGTTGATGGGGAGATCTTCTTCTGAAGGGAAGTGCCAGAGGAAGTGTTGAAGGATATTACAAGGTGGAAGTTAATAATGGCTAAACTCTGCCACCGCATTGTGACTCCCTCTGCCCCTGTACCACCAGTTTGTAACTGCAGGTGGGCTTTGATGGTAAAAAGTTTGAGCACCCTTTCTTAAATACAGATGGTATTTTCTGCTTAATACCTGTAGTATCAAATATAATGAGAAAAGATAACACCAGGATGATGTCTTGATGGGAGGTTTCCCCCACTCTATTCCAATTTTTCCATGGTGTGTGGTGTGTGTTTTGTTTTGTTTTGTTCTCTTATCTTACTTCCCCTTTCCATTTTTTTTTTAAAAGGGAGGAATTCAGCCCAGTGCTAAAGAGTGTGAGCATTTCTGATTTCACCTCCATCACACATGCTATTCTGGGGCTTATCCCTCCCCCTTGAAGCCAACGGGGGGGGGCACAGGAGCATGTGTGGAAAGGGTAGGGGAGAGCCCAGTTGTGGTTGCAGAAGTCTGCTCAGCTCGCAGGACCTATTAGTTAAATCCAGCCCATAAAATCCAAATACAGTGGTACCTCGGGTTACATACGCTTCAGGTTACATATGCTTCAGGTTACAGACTCTGCTAACCCAGAAATAGTACCTCAGGTTAAGAACTTTGCTTTAGTATGAGAACAGAAATCATGCTCCGGCGGCGCGACAGCAGTGGGAGGCCCCATTAGCTAAAGTGGTGCTTCAGGTTAAGAACAGTTTCAGGTTAAGAACAGACCTCCAGAACGAATTAAGTACTTAACCCAAGGTACCACTGTACTTGGATCAAAAGTGGGTGGTCATTACTGGAAGTTCAAATCCCTAGCATGGTAACAAGGGTGGGCATGTGATCAGCACAAGATCTCATTGCAGATAAGCATATTGAGCAGAAGATTTGTGGGTTTTTCACTTTTATGTATTCATAATTTAATATATTGGATGTTTCTCTTTGACCCCATTAATATAGGTTAAGACAGTGAGCAGCAACTTTGTGGATGTATTTAGTTAGAATTACCGTATGTTTTACCAATAAAAATGTTCAGTCAATTTATTGTGTGCAGCACTTAACGAATTTTTTTTTTTAACTCTTCCAATATATCAAGCTTTAGCTAAGGGAATCTTGATGATGGTTCAGCAGTGAGGGTGGAGCTTCTTTGGCAAATGAGTCACATGTTTTGGACCTGTGTCTCCCATTGCTGTTTCATAACGTAAAGATAATGTCAGCAGAATATTCTGGCTGTCTAGCTCTAGTAATGTATTCTTGCCAGTAGGTCAGAATGACTTTGTTTATGCACTGCCAATTCAATTCATGTACAGCCTGGAAGCGTACAAAATATTTGAGCCCCCCCCCCTTAAGTAAAAGCATATTTAACAAAACAAGACCAAGCAAAAACACAAAAGTCTCTCATGGCTACCTTTGACTGTGCTGTTGGGAGTTTGCTTATTAGCGAATATATAGTAACCTCTGCTGTAAGCTGTTTTAAATAAATATTGAGAATGTAGCTCCACAATGGCATTCAACAGTCTCAAGAGACTAAATTCCCAAATCAGCTTATAAATTCTTCAGGAAAGCAGTCAGATTCATACACTTGAAAATTACATTGATTTCCAAGACGGGAAGCGGAATACTGGACTGAAAGCTTTCTTCTGATCCAGCAGATCTGCTCTTGCATTATTTATTTATAAAAATATTTGCATACCACTCTATCCCCAAAATTTATCAAAGCAGTTTAGAACGGTAAAAATAAGATGAAACCATACAATAAAATCATAAAATGTTGAAAGCAAGTTAAAACCGTTAAAAACAAAGATCAGGAACCTATTGTGGGGGGGATGTACTCTTAATTGCCTGCATAGACTTGAAGGAATAGAAAAGTTTTTAGCTGGCATTTAGAAGTTTGCCAATAGAGATCAGGGGCACCTTTTGTGCGGAGTGTTCCACAGGACTGAGTCAGTGACACCAAAGGCTTGGTTGGCACTCCTGCAGCTGATCTCGGTGGGATATAAGGGTTAAGGTCCCTGCTGCACCATGGACCTAAATTCCTATTATGTTCTTATTGCCCCTGTGAGAAAGAATTCTTCCTTTTGTAGACGTTAGGAGCAGGAGCAACTTAAGAAGAATGGATATTGTCATAATATAAAGCATGGAGCAGCACGGTGTCAGCATCAATCTAAAGAAAGCTTACCCCCCTCCACTCTTGTCTCTCCATTATATTATTCTAGGGTCGTCTTTTCTCATATCCAGATACTCACAGACATCGTCTGGGACCCAACTACCTTCAAATTCCTGTAAACTGTCCTTACCGAGCTCGAATTGCCAACTACCAGAGAGATGGATTTATGTGCATTTCTGACAACCAAGGTAATTCCAAAAGGTGTCTTCTGGAAGTAATCTGCAATACCATGTGCAAGGACATTTTCTTCTGAATTTCTAGCATGGTTTGGATATTTGTTCTAATTTTGATTCATGTTAGATTCCTAACTGTGGGTGAAATTCAACATCTCATGAGTGTTTTTCTGTTCTCTTGGTGGGACTTTAAATTTCTCCTGCTTCTTCCTGTAGCCCCCCAGATCTGTTCTGGAGAATCCCCAAGCAGCTTCAGAACAAATCTGGGGGATGTGCAGGTGTCTGTAGAACAGATGAAGGGGAGGTCCTGTTGCGTGAGCAGAAGTCTGTTTAAAATGTGTGTCCTTTGTGAACTTTTTTAGCCAAATGGATGCATAAAATAGTTTAATCAAAAGTGTATTGCCATTTGAATGGAGAAACAGGGAACGGATGCACAGTTATACTGTAAACAGTTACTTTGGCTTCAAACATTTATGCCTATTATTTCAGAGAACTGCAATAAAATTATACCTAAAGTCACACCAAGGTGATTATACTGCTTCAAAGAACTTCTAGAAATTGGCTTCGGTGCCCAACCAAGAGCTTATAATAGGCAGGTAGCTGATCTTTCTTGAATGTTCTACTAGATTCCATTTACAGTATTCTGTTTATCAGTAAGAATGAAGAAAGGGAAGCAGTGGTCTTATTTTATATCAAGTAGTCTTATTTTATATGGAAGCAGTTACTGACTCCCACCCCCAATATTAATAGCTAGGTATGAGGCACATTTGAAACACATCTAATGGATTCATATCCAATTATATCTATCTATCTATCTATCTATCTATCTATCTATCTATCATCTATCAATCTTTCTTTCTTCTAGGTGGTGCTCCAAATTATTATCCCAACAGTTTTACTGGCCCTGAAGACCAGCCCAACTTGAAGGAGAGCAGTGTGCTTCTTTCTGGTGATGTGCAACGCTTCAATAGTGCAGATGAGGACAATGTGTCTCAAGTAAGCAGATTAGAAATGGAAAATTATTTTGGACATGAGTTGGAGGTATACACTGCTTTTTTATGGAGTGAATTGACTTTCTTGAGACATCCGCAAAACACCTACCTTGAAAGCAGGTTAAAAGGTTTTTTTGTGATCCATCTGGTAGAAACTTAGCTGTGGCTTCTCTAGGCCATTTCTGCATTACCCCTTTTGTTACCCTATCAATTTGTAGTTTCATATACTCCCTCCCCCCAATAGATCAATGAAAGCTCTTTTCTAGGCCTGTATGGAATCCTAGACCTACCCTGGGGAGATCCGCTGGAATTAATGAACTTGCCTAACTCAGGAGCCTCTGGGAGGGGCTACCACTGGCTGACCCGACAGTTGAGTGTTTGCCCAAGCTTTGATAATTGGGCCCTAGGTCCCATGGCCTAGAGTTTGGAATACATGTTTCCTGAAATGCTTTTTAAAAATAGAATAATGCCTGTGTAAATTCCACCAGCACAAGTTCAACCAGCTGAGCCAGGGGGAGTGATATATGCCAGCATATGTTGGGCTCGAACAGGATGAAAGGTTTATGCTTGGCCAAGAAAGCTCAAGATCTGCCAAATCCAGACTCTCTCATCCTGGCAGATCCTGCCTTTAGATTGTGCTGTAAATTGTAAATCTGAGGCACATCTCAGGGATAAGACTGTTGGCCATCCCTTCTGTTCCCAGTGTTGATGGCGGAGTTAGTTTAAAGTCAGTAGTGAGTCTCTCTCAGCTGAAAGTTTATATTTTATATTAGAAAATGCCTTAATAATTATGCAGCACAGGATACATCCATAATGTGAGAGAAATCTGTCCTTCATTTTCATTTAAAGGTACGAGACTTCTATACTAAAGTGCTGAGTGAAGAAGAACGTGAGAGGCTTTGCGAGAACATTGCTGGCCATCTTAAAGATGCTCAGCTTTTCATTCAGAAGAAGGCTGTAAGTGATAAATTGCTACTTGTATCTGATGACATCTGATCTATGCTCTTAATGTACATCCTACAATAATTTTAAAATATATACTTGTGTGCCACCTTATTTTAAGATGCAGGAAAATATGAGACAGACAAAAAAAGTTAAGGTAGAAAAAAAACCACAGATGTAAAAGGTAAGCCTTCAACAATCTCTTTTTGAAAAATTATTTAAATTATCAGGATAAATTAATAGTAGAGTAACTACTCTGACAGGGAGTCTTGTCAGCTGAAAGACAGTAAGCCTCCCTGCTTACTTTTTCAAGTAAGACCTGGATATATTTAGGGATGTTTTGGTCCATGCTGTAGCATAGAAAGCGCATGAACTTCTGCATGCAAAAATTACATTTCAACTTTGGAGGGAAGCTGTGTAGTCGTAGGAGGTAAATTGGAAGCTATTTCATTCAAACCCAGTTAGTCGTTTCAAATCTCCATGTCAATAGCAGATGGCATAGTTTACATATAATTTGAGAAGGTAAATTGAAGAACATAAGAAGAGGCTGCTGGATCAGGCTCATAGCACTTCTGGTCCAGCATCCTGTTCTCACAGTAGCCAACTTGATGCCTGTGGGAAGCACCCCAGCAAGATAGGTGCACAACAGCACTCTGCCCACCTGCAGTTCCCAGCAAGTGGAATTCAGAGACTGACTGTCTCTGACCATGGAGGTGGAACGTGGGAAGAGAAGGGGCTTTGGATGAAATCTTAATGCAGGCTTATAATTGCTCTTCAACTTCTCTTTGCCAATCTAGGTGAAAAACTTTACTGATGTTCATCCTGATTATGGTGCCCGCATCCAAGCCCACCTGGACAGGTACAATGCTAAAGGGGGCAGCAAGGTATGAAAACAACTTCCATTCAAATTACTGTGTGCTGAGGGGCTAAGGCATTATTATGTAAATTGCCGTAGATGAAAGTGCTTGATCGAAAGAGAGGACTGTGGAGTTGGGGTGAATGTTGTGGGGTGGGGTTTAAAATGCAAACTTTAAAATGCTGCCAGTTCAAGTGGCCAAAGCCCCCTTCAAGCTTGCCTTGATCAGCTGTTTCTCACCTATTCTTTTTAAGTGCCATATGAAAATGTATTGCACAAAAATGTATTTGCCAATATGCCAGCAAATCGTCGGATTCTTAGGATAATCCCTTAGTTCTGGGAGAGTAAAGCCCTCCTGTTCCCTCAACATAAGGAGGGGAGAGAGTATGGCAGCTGTGGAACTGCCATGCTTATTTTCCTTCTGTTTTGGGGTCTATAGGAGGGAAAATCTGAGGAGATGGAGGAATGGAAAAATTAAAAAGAAAAGCTCTCTCACTTTTACTCTGGCGTTTTAGGATTTGGTAGTTCGTGCATCCTCAGATTCTCCCTCCAGTCTCTAAAGGATTTCTCTGTTAGAAACTTGCTCCTACAACCCATGCTGACTGTCAGTGGTTTAAACTATTTTTGTCTTGTTTCTAGGATTGTATTCGTACCTACACCCAAGCTTCTCATGTTGCTGCAAAGGAAAGATCTAATTTGTAGAAAGTATGACCTGTGGTCCCATTGATCATTGCATTTGCATCCGTCCAACTGGAAAACAAGCCTTAATCCTGCAAATATTTGTGTTTTTCTTGAAATCTCCTTTGTTGTGGCAGTTGCAAGGCAGAACCATTGAAGTTTGCATTTGTGATTAAAAACTAATTGAATTATAATCTTATGCCTTGTAAAACATTCTGTCTAGACTGTTAAAATTGATCTGTACTGGCAATCACTTTTCAGTAGTATGACTGAAATATATGGCTACAGTAACTTTTTGTCTACTTTTGCAAAATTAATCAAATGGTTTGCCTTATTTTTGTATTCTTATAACTAACCGTGCATTTATTTACCCAAAAGAACTTGCATAATATTTTGATGGTATATCTTCTACTGACTATGTTAAAATCAATACAGCAACAGGTGAATAAAATTCTTACTCATAGAGGTATTAACATTTTAAAAAGAGCACATTTTAATAAATGCTCCCATTATGCAAGCAGTTTTATCTTGCAGTGGCACTAAATTTATCAGACTTTTGCTTGATGCACGGTGGATTACAGGAGCTATATTTGAAACACATTCGATCATATTTTCTTTTTTTTAACTTCATTTTGACATAAATATATTTACAGAAACAAGGTAATCCATTATACTGGAGAATTATTACAGTGCCTATTCTCAAATAAAATTATTGTTATAATGAAATGTTTCACATTTATCTATGGATTTTTGTTAACCGTGTACTTTTAGATCTAGTTCTGTGGGTCAACTTACATATGATGGTGTCTTCATTCATAAGTGTGGGTGGGAGTTGAAAATAAAAGGAACATGCAGGATTCTTTCTCCCAATCCTGTAACTTAACTCTCCAGTCAGTACTTTTTTGTTCTGATATTTGGCATGAAGAAAAGTGGAAGGAGCCAAATCAAATTTGTACTCAATGTACACATCAGGATGATTTGATGTGTATTAAAGTCTCCTAGCATATATTCACACCAGTGTGTGGAGACAGATGTCTTCACTCAACACATATTACCTGGCTGGTTTCTCCAGCCCTGGAAATTCTGTTTCAGTTGTACACACCTGGGATAAGCCTACAGTTCTGAAGTCTGAGCCAAGCCTGCTTGGGAAAAACAGCATTAAAATGTACTGTTTCGGAAGAAACTACTAAGATAGCTGTAGTCCACAGGTAACATCATATGTAAAAGGTAAAGGGACCCCTGACCATTAGGTCTAGTCGTGGCTGACTCTGGGGTTGCGGCGCTCATCTCGCTTTACTGGCCGAGGGAGCCGGCGTACAGCTTCCGGGTCATGTGGCCAGCATGACTAAGCCGCTTCTGGAGAACCAGAGCAGCGCACGGAAACACTGTTTACCTTCCCACCAGAGCGGTACCTATTTATCTACTTGCACTTTGACGTGCTTTCGAACTGCTAGGTTGGCAGGAGCAGGGACCGAGCAACGGGAGTTCACCCCATCGCGGGGATTTGAATCCCCGACCTTCTGATCGGCAAGTCCTAGGCTCTGTGGTTTAACCCACAGCGCCACCCGCATCCCTTAACATCATATGTACAGGGATTAAAAAAACGGGGGAATGTACTGGTGCCAGAGTAAACAGCCTGACTATGTACATACAAATGTTAGGATGACATAACACAGTCTCCCTTGGAGAATTCATAGCTTTCCTCCCTTCCTGCTAATTTATAGCCCCTTTCATGCCCCCCCCCCCTGCTCAACAGTCCAGATGTTCTCAATATGAAGGGTATCAGCTGATACTCCAGGTAAAGAGGGGTAAAACAGAGAAAGATTTCAAGGCTTTGATGCCAGCTTTCAACCAAGTGAAATAAAACACCAGCTTCCTTTTCAGTAAAGGTGCATGGGAGCAAACCTCTAATGTTGCAGTCCTATGCACATCTGCCATTGAGCTTCGTAGGGATTACTTCTGAGTATATATGCATGGGATCAGCTGCAGGGTGAGCTTTGGTGAGAAAAAAAGAGACAAAGCTGCAATTATGTTTGAAAGAGAAAGAGCAGAGGAAGTGCAGCTTTTAAGAGATTTTTATAGATAAGGGGAGATCGCATCAATGGAAAGCTTTGAGTTCAAGCTGTTTCACCCTTCCCTACTCTTTAAGCAGATGACTCTGCTTTTGCAGCCAAACACTGTATTTCTGTATAGCACAGGAAATGACATTCAATTGTTTCATAATGTTAAGTGAAAGCCAAAAACAGATCACAAGGCTTATAAAATGTACTTTTGAAAGTAAGTTCTTTTTTTTTTAAAGGCGTTTTCACATCAGTTTGCCACAAAACCTGTTCTTCACCACCACAAATACAGCTGTCCCAGTCTAACCATTCTGTCTTCATTCTGCTGTAAGACACTTCCTGTCTTTTTATCCCATACTCCTATACCCTCTGATCACTTGCTTTAAACGCTAGGCAAGCTCTTCTTCCTCTTGCCCTTAAGCAGCCATGGGAAATCTTAGGACAATCGCTGTGTAACCCTCAAAGCATTTGACAAAGTTCTTTGGAACGTCCTATTTACCCTCTTAGCTAATGCAAACTTTGGCAATGAACTTGTACCTCGGTAGTAGGGTGGTGGCCAGGGTGAACAGACAATATTCGGAAAGATTTCCAATACAATGGGGAGCAAATTCTGGACTTCACTACAATGATTAAATTTTAATCTCCATTTCAAAGAACTTAAAACAAACTTTAAGCTTCGGCTGCAACCCATATGCCGTAGATGAGCTGGGTATCGGCTGTGAAAATGGTGGCACTGACAATTTTTGTCAGTTCCATTTGAGTGTTTAAAGAATTTAATTGTGACTTTTGTCCACCAGGGCAAATGAAACTGCCCACCTACATAATATTGTAAAAATTATACACAATCCTAAGGATTGCTTATGCCTTCATACCAAAAACCCAAGTGACTCCTAGCCGTACCCTTCTTGGTCCATTGTAAATTATTTTTGCACTCAAATTTCCAATCCATTTACACCTGCAGGTCTTCAGGTGTGGTGCTCCTAGATCCCTAAACCCCCAGTCTCCTTTGATTCCTTTCATATTCCACTCACAGTTTCAAAATCAAGACAGGGAACAGCATGGCGAGGATCAGCAGGGATACATGGCAAGAAGTGGAACTCTACTGAGTTAGAGATCTATATGATAATAATTTACCTATAAAGGCCGATGAGCTGGCTACTAAATTACCAGGCAGGCAGGATAGATTGGTTTTATATACACCAAGCGGTCCATTTTGCCACCAATCAGTGTCCTTTCCTTATCCATCAGAGAACAAACCCCGGTTGAAAACTTAGTGCTCAATTCAACCCCAAACTCAAAGAGGATGCTGTCTATTCTTTATAAAATTATTTGTGATATTAAGACAGAAAATTTCGATTCTCTGAAACAAATTTGGGAATCTGATCTGTGGATTCAGATGGAACAGGGGGACTGGTGTATTGTGGGCCAAAAACCGGGTTATTTGTAAAGACAAAAATCAGACACAACACCTTTAAGCTGTTTTGCTGCTGGCTCCACAACAATGCCATCACATCTACCCAGCAGCTTCTTCCCTGCTGTACTGGAGAGAATGTGGCAGGATTGGAAAAGCACACACCAAAGTGCCATGTTTTTGGACTGAGGTTCATACAGAAATAAGTCTCATCTGACATCACATGGTTCAGTGTTCACCACAGCTCACTTTATTGTCAGTTTCCCATGATGATCCAAAAGATTAAACCTAGAATAATGGAATAGTTTCCTCCTCATAACAGCATGGAAGGTGATTGCCCAAACATGGAAGAAGCTGGAAAACCTGAACTCATCCCTGAGGAGACAAAAAAAGCTCACTAAGTATCTGAAAGCTTTGAATGGTGAACAGGAATCTGATGACTTCATAAAAACATAGCACCACTTTATAACTTTTATATGAAACAATACCACAACATGGCATCCCCACCAGGATACACATGTACAACTCTGGTGTAACATTTCCCACTGATAATACTGTCCAGTCCCACTTTGGGATGAGAGAGGAAGTTCCCCCAACCCAAAGTCTAGTTGCTGTGGGGAAGGGCAGTGGAAGGAGGGTACACTAAATCAGGTGGAAATGCCTCCCAGACCAAATCCAGATTTACCCCTTATTTAAAGCTTCAAAAAGGGACGCGGGTGGCGCTGTGAGTTAAATCACAGAGCCTAGGATTTGCCGATCAGAAGGTCGGCGGTTTGAATCCCTGTGACGGTGTGAGCTCCCGTTGCTCGGTCCCTGCTCCTGCCAACCTAGCAGTTTGAAAGCATGTCACAGTGCAAGTAGATAAATAGGTACCGCTCTGGTGGGAAGGTAAACAGCGTTTCCGTGAGCTGCTCTGGTTCGCCAGAAGCGGCTTAGTCATGCTGGCCATATGACCCGGAAGCTGTACACCAGCTCCCTCAGCCAATAAAGCGAGATGAGCGCTGCAACCCCAGAGTCGGCCACGACTGGACCTAATGGTCAGGGGTCCCTTTACCTTTACCTTAAAGCTTCAATATTCTCACAGCCTATGCCCAATATTGATTTTCTATCTTGATTAGTAAGTTCAGAACTGCCATTTTAATTAGAGGGGGAAACCCTCTGGTTATTTTGAGGTATAATAAAGTAACCATCATATCAAATGTACATCACTTTAAAACTTGATAAAAACAGAGTTTGGTTTTTATTACTCTCATTACATGATTGCTATGTTTGCTTTTGAAAAAACAACAGCCAAATTAAGCATGGTTATGTTCATGAATTTACGCATAAAAAACAGGAGTTAAGGGGACTACACAGGGAAGGAAGAATCAATAAAAATGACCTCTTCCTCCAGTGGAGCCATTCTGTGTGAGTGGAGTTCTTTTTGCAGTTTTACATTTCCAAAACCAAGCCACTGAAACTTACTGTAAACATTTGGTCTACTGCAAGTTACTTCTTAATGCCTTAGCCACTCAACACCAAGTAAACTGAAGATGCTCCCATACCTTTTTACTGCCTTTAGCATTGTACCTGTCCAGGTGGGCTTGGATGCGGGCACCATAATCAGGATGAACATCAGCAAAGTTTTTCACCTAGATTGGCAAAGAGAAGTTGAAGAGCAATTATAAGCCTGCATTAAGATTTCATCCAAAGCCCCTTCTCTTCCCACGTTTCACCTCCACGGTCAGAGGCAGTCAGTCTCTGAATTCCACTTGCTGGGAACTGCAGGTGGGCAGAGTGCTGTTGTGCACCTATCCTGCTGGGGTGCTCAGGTTGGCTACTGTGAGTACAGGATGCTGGACTAGATGGACCATGAGCCTGATACAGCAGCCTCCTCTATGATGTTATAATAATAATTTATTATTTATACCCCACCCATCTGGCTGGGTTTCCCCAGCCACTCTGGGCAGCTCCCAACAGAATATTAAAAACACAATAAAACATCAAACGTTAAAAACAACCCTAAACAAGGCTGCCTTCAGATGTCTTCTAAAAGTCGGATCGTTGTTTATTTCGTTGACATCTGGTGGGAGGGTGTTCCACAGGGTGGGAGCCACAACTGAGAAGGCCCTCTGCCTGGTTCCCTGTAACTTTGCTTCTCGCAGTGAGGCAACCACCAGAAAGCCCTCGGCGCTGGACCTCAGTGTCTGGGCTGAACGATGGGGGTGGAGACGCTCCTTCAGGTATACTGGTCTGCGGCCATTTAGGGCTTTAAAGGTCAGCACCAACACTTGAATTTCTTAAATTTACCTTCTCAAATTATATGTAAACTATGCCATCTGCTAGTGACATGGAGATTTGAAACTACTAACTGGGTTTGAATGAAAGAGCTTCCAAATTACCTCCTGTGACCATAGTATTACAAATCTTCCCTCCAAAGTTGAAATGTAATTTTTGCTTTGTTCGTAGCTTTGTTCATGCACTTTCTGTGCTACAGCATGGACCAAAACAGTCCTAAATATATCCAGGTCTTACTTGAAAAAGCAAGCAGGGAGGCTGTCTTTCCATAGCTAGAAGTACTGTGCTAGCTATTCTGCTATTACTTATCCTATTTTAAATAGTATTTCAAAAAGCACTTTCAGTAATTAGAAAGCTGGATAACTTTTCAAGCTTAAACATTTTCTCTGTCTTACATTATATTTTTATGCATTTTACAATATGTTTATATAGAACTCTATCTTCTAAAATTATTGTAGGATTTACATTAGAAGGATAGTTCAGATATCATCAGATAAAAGTAGCAGTTTCACTTACAGCCCTCTTCTGAATAAAAAGCTGAGCATCTTTAAGGTGACTAGCAATGTTTTCACAAAGCCTCTCGCGCTCTTCCTCATTCAGAACTTTGGTATAGAATATGCGTACCTTTAAATGAAAATAAATTTGTCTCTCGTTATGGGAGCATCTTGTGCTGAATAATTATATTCAGACGTTTTCTAAAATAACATAAAAACTGAGCTAAGAGAAATTCTCACTACTAACTTTAAACTCCACCACCAACACAGGAAACAGAAGGGATGTCCACCAGCCTTATTCCTGAGATGTGTCTCAGGTTTTCAATTTACAGCACAATCCAAAGCCACCACCAGGATGAGAAAGTTTGCTTTTGGCAGATCTTGGGCTTTCCTGGCTAAGCTGGTGCTCAGTCAGGCCTATATTAGCATAAACCTTTCATCCTGTTTGAGCCCGACATATGCTGGCATAAGATGCTCACCTTGGCTCAGCTGCTTGAACTTAAGCCAAAGTAATTTACACAGGCCTAATTCCAAAAAGCGGCAGTGGCAGCCAGCGCTGTCTTAAGCATATGTGGCGCTGGGGTGCAAAGATCCACCCAGTGCACCCCCCCCCCCAGGTTGCCCAGTCCCAGGCGCGTAGGAGGACGAAGCTGGCTGGCCGCCTCAGCATCTCGCTGGCTTGGTCGCCCCCGAACTCGTGGCGCAGAGCCTGCCGCAGCAGAAGAGCCCACCGCGGTGCTCCGACCGACGGGTGGGCTCTTCCCCGGACTCAACTCTTGGGCCCTGGATTCTTGGCCTGCCGCCCCTGAGAGCCCGGTGCTCGGGTGCCCTGCACCCCTATGGGTAAGACGGCCCTGGTCACGGAGGGGGAATTCCAGGGCCAAGACAAGACAAGGACATGCTTGCACCTATTCCAAACCTTGCTTAGGTCAGCCATTTGACCTTGGGCCCAATTCTCAAAACTCTGGCAGGAACTCACCTGTGGCCTCAGCCTGCAGAGCTCCTCCCAGAGGCCCCTGGACAGAGTTTGGAATAGGGGTAACTTACAGCACCCTCCTGTAGCTATGAGTGCTCTGTTGGAGAGCTTCTGCCTGCTGTTAGGCACAGGTTACAATGAGTTGTATCCAGTAAAGTTTTGCTCAGAGCAGTCCCATTGAAATGAATAAACCTGAGTTAGTCATGTTCATTGATTTCAGTGGGTCTCCCCAGAGTAGGTCTAGGATTGCATACAGGCCTAGAAAAGAGCTTTCATTGATCGTGTGTGTGTGTGTGTGTGTGTGTGTGTGTGTGTGTGTGTGAAACTCTACAACTTGATAGAGTAACAAAAGGGTAATGCAGTAATGGCATAGGGAAGCTACAGCTAAGTTTCTACAATATGGAACTATATCACAAAAAACCTTCAACCCATTTCAAAGCAGGCATTTTGCAGATGTCTCCAGCAAGTCAATTCATTTCATTAAAATGAATTCAGCTTGTATATGTCCAAAATAAGGTAATCTTCCATTTCGACTCTGCTTACTTGAGACACATTGTCCTCATCTGCACTATTGAAGCGTTGTACATCACCGGAAAGAAACATGTTGCTCTCCTTCACACTGGGCTGGTCTTCAGGGCCAGTATAACTGTTGGGGTAATAATTTGGAGCACCACCTAGAAAAATATATATGTTTGTATGCGTGTTTTAGGAGTGCCACATACCTAGCTATCAACATTTGCAAAAAAAGGTCAGCGTACAGCAATAGCTCTTTTTAGATAAAAGGTCAACTGGAGTCTCTCAACTCATTTACTCTCCAATTCCTATTTGATCCTGATGTCCAAGTGAAAACTGATCAGGATATTGTTTCCCAGTTACTTAATTTCTTAAATACTACTTCTCTTGTTTGCATGTCCTTACTGATAAACAGAATACTCTGAATGGAATCTAGTAGAACATTCAAGAAAGATCAGCTACCTGCCTATTATAAGCTCTTGGTTGAGCACCAAAGCTTAATTTACAGAAGATCTTTGAAGCAGTACAATCACCTTGGCATGACTTTAAATATAATTTTATTACATTTTTCCTACCAGTAGGTATAAATGCTTGGAGGCAAAACGACTGCTTGCAGTATGCTCATGCATTCGTTCCTTGTTTCTCTATAGATGAAAATGTATTTTGATTTTTTAAAAGTATGAATCCATATGGCTAAAATAAGGTCAAATATGCTTCAAAAGAAAAGTAAAAGTCCACAAAGGGCAATACAGTGGTACCTTGGGTTACATACGCTTCAGGTTACAGACTCTGCTAACCCAGAAATATTGCTTCAGGTTAAGAACTTTGCTTCAGGATGAGAACAGAAATTGTGCTCTGGCGGCACGGCAGCAGCAGGAGGCCCCATTAGCTAAAGTGGTGCTTCAGGTTAAGAACAGTTTCAGGTTAAGTACGGACCTCCGGAATGAATTAAGCACTTTACCCGAGGTACCACTGTATTCCATTGTGCCAGGGCACAAACTTTAACAGACTTCTGTTCACACAACAGGCCTTCCCCTTCCTCTGCTCTACTGACCGCAGCACATCCCCCGAATTCTGTTCTGAAGGTGTTGGGGGATTCTCCTTAACATATTTTTGGGGGTGGGGGCTATAGGAAGGAGCAGAGTAAATTAAAGTCCTACTACATGAGCAGAAGTTGTGATGGATTTCACTCACAGTTAAGCATCTAACCGGAAGGAATATTAGATCACATATTCAGACCATGTTACAAACGCAGAGGAAGAGAAAGTCCTTGCACATGATATTGCAGATTACTTCCAGAAGACACCTTTTGGAATTACCTTGGTTATCAGAAACGCACATACGTCCATCTCTCTGGTAGTTGGCAATCCGAGTACGGTATGGACAGTTTACAGGAATTTGAAGGAAGTTGGGTCCCAGGCGATATCTGTGAGTATCTGGATATGAGAAAAGACGACCCTAGAATACATCAAAGAGAAAAGGTTCAAGGTCCTCTTCTTTGGGTGGGGGCTGAGACTAGGATGCTCCATTCCTCCTGCTGTGCATGTATAACCCACTGATGTACATCACTCAGACAAAGCTGCGCATACCCAGTAGGAGAGGTGAGGCAGAGAGCTGTCACTTTTATGGACAACTAGCTCAGAACCTCGAGGGACGCGGGTGGCGCTGTGAGTTAAACCACAGAGCCTAGGACTTGCCAATCAGAAGGTCGCAGTTCGAATCCCTGCGATGGGGTGAGCTCCCGTTGCTCAGTCCCTGCTTCTGCCAACCTAGTAGTTCGAAAGCACGTCAAAGTGCAAGTAGATAAACAGGTACCACTCCGGCGGGAAGGTAAATGGCGTTTCCGTGCGCTGCTCTGGTTCGCCAGAAGCGGTTTAGTCATGCTGGCCACATGACCCGGAAGCTGCACGCCAGCTCCCTCGGCCAATAGAGCGAGATGAGCGCTGCAACCCCAGAGTCGGCCATGACTGGACCTAATGGTCAGGGGTCCCTTTACCTTAAGCTCAGAACCTCAGTCTGGATGATAGCATTCGTCTCCATTCTGTAAGGTCTGAAGTCGTTAAGAGCAGTGAGGTTTCCCTAAACGTTTTAAAGTGAGTTATGAAGTTTCTTAGCTCTTTAAGTTCCTTGTTTGTTGATGAACTTTACGTTCTAAGAGGCTGTAAATGTTAGTTCCCGAGTGCCAATCCATTTGAGAGAATGGCTGTGGAATGGAAGTGGACAAGAAGAGATCATTTCCCCTCCAGCCAGCATAAAGCTGAATCTTCAGGAAGATACAACCCAAAAGACAGAACTTTAGGATGGAGCTCTGTTTTACCGATTTCATAACACATGCCAACTATATTTTTTATGTAAAATCCTTATGTGCTGTTTGATGTGTGAGTGTTTCGGGCGATTTATATCTGTACAAATTATTTGCTGCGAGTCCCCACAGAAATTCTTAATAAAAACATTCTGTTAAAGCAACAGTAATAAATAATAGTTATATATGGTTTCAGTGGTGGCAGTATCCATTCATTTTAAGCTGTTCCTTGCTCCTAATGCCAATAGAAGGAGGAATTGTTTCTCGCCAGGGTGATAAGAACATGCAAGAGAAGACAAAAGGTCTCAGTCCAGCATTCTGTTTCCCATAGTGAAAACTAGGTAATTATCAAGTTTATAAATCTGACGGCTCTCCCCAGGTGCGATTATGACTATCTTCTTAAAGAATTTATGAGCTGCTTTGGGACTGTAGTCTCCGAGACTGTTGAAAGCCATTGTGGAGTTACATTCTTAATTTTGATTTAAAACAGCTTACTACAGAAGTTACTGTATATTCGCTAATAAGCAAACTTCCCACAACACAATCACATGAGGCCACAAGAGAATCATGTGTCTTTTTCTAGGACTGCCTTATATTTGAAAAAATAAGATCTTGTATATTTTGCATGTTTCCAGGCAGTACACGTTTGAACTGGCAGTACAGTAACATAGTCATTCTACCCTAGAGAAGGGGGAAAAAACTACTTGCAATAATGCAGTACTCTTACAACTAGATTATTAGAATATTCTGTTGAATATTTATTTATGTTATGAAACACCAGTGATACACACAGCTCTAAAATGTGGGATTTAGTTTCGCGAACCTGAACAGGAGAGTTTTAAACTAAATCCTGAAGGGAGGGAGGGGACAATATTACAGATGACAGGGGAGTACCTGGTACTGGGGATAATAGCTTCATTTATGCACAGGAAACTGAGGCGGTGCTAAAGAAACCTATTAAAGGTGAGCTGGGAGTTAAGGGCATGTATAAGAAATGGAAGAAAGGGGAAACCACAAAGGAGGAGTATACACGAGTAGCCAACAAGGATGAAGGTCAGGATGGCTGCTAAAGCTCATAATGAGCTTTGTGGAGAAGACAAAGCAATGTTATTGGGTGACAGACAGAAGGCAGAACTATTCAACACCTACTTTGCCTCTGTCCAATGCCCAACCTTGTAATAACAGAATAAATGATGTAAGGAGGGAGCTGCAGCCCAAGAGAGGAAAAGAGGTAGTTAGGAAACACCTAGCTACTTTAAATGAATTGAAATCTCCAGGGCCTGATGAGCTGCACCCTAGGGTACTAAAGGAGCTTGAGAATGTAATCTCAGAGTCTCTGCCTCTAATCTTTGAGAATTCTTGGAGAACAGGGGAGGTCTCTGCACACTGGAGGTGGGCAAAAGTAGTCTCTAGCTTCAAAAGGGGGGGGGAGAAGACCCAGGTAACTACTGATTAGTCAGCTTGACGTCGATACCAGGAAAGGTTCTAGAACAGATAATTACCGTATTTTTCACTCTATAACACGCACCCGACCATAACACGCATATAGTTTTTAGAGGAGGAAAACAAACAAAAAAAATATTCTAAACGAAACAGTGGATGTATGATTTTTGTGGTTCATGCTGTGGCCACAGACATGTGATCTGACGGTGAATTTGGGGTGACCCAGTGCAAAAATCCTGAGGATCCATGTGAATCCATGCTTTGTAACCAGGCTCTCTGTCCCTCTCTTCTCCCCACTCAGCGGCTCTTCTCCCGCTTTGCTGTTCCAAAGCAAGCTAGCCACGGAGGAGGGAAGGAAGGGGAACCATGGATCCTCTGCTCACGCCTGCAGCAGATCCCCCCGCCATCCGTAGGCATTCGCTCCATAACACGCACAGACATTTCCCCTTACTTTCTAGGAGGAAAAAAGTGAATGTTATGGAGCAAAAAATACGGTAAATAGTTGGTCTATGAGCACTTTAAAAAGGATGCTGTGATTACTAAGACCCAGCACAGTTTTCCTGAAAACAAGTCATATTAGACAAATCTGATTTATTTTGTTGATAGAGTTACAGGCTTGGTGGATCAGGGTGTGCTGTGGACATAATGCATATTGATTTCAGTAAGGCTTTTGACTATGAAATAAATATAAAAATACTATACTCCTTACCTGTAACATTTTATCAGGGCTAGGTTCAATTCCTGGAGGCATGTTGCTTGGAGCAAAGGCAATTTGTTCCACCTCAGCAAAATAATTGACAGGGTTTCTGTTTAAGACAACCTTCCCCACCGGGATAAGAGGATACTCTTTGTGAGGCCAAACCTATAAAATGCAAGAATACAATTTATTACAGATAGTTTCCAGGTAAATATTTCCATAGTAATGAAGAATTTGTATTCCTTATATCCAATATGTAGGATAAAGGAATTACGCTTACCTTAGTTACATCAAAAGGATTGAATGGAAATGCCTCAGCTTGTTCAAATGTCATAACCTGGATATAGAAACTCCATGAAGGATAGTTTGCATTAGCAATAGCGTTGTAAAGATCACGCAGGGCATAGTCGGGATCTTCAGAGGCCAGTCTTCCTGCTTCTTCAACAGTAAGGTTTTTGATTCCTTGATCAGTCTGTAAAAATCAAAATAATATCACTTAGAAATTTCCATCAAAAATTTTTTTTGCTTAAGAAATGCATACTAGTAACAATGAAAGAAAAAATATTAAAATTATTAAGGAGACCAGTCTGTATGTAGAAACTGAAGCATCATATGAAAATCTTATAAGACTAGGAATGCAAAACTACATTTTCAAAACCATGTAAAGTAAACAACAATATGTTAATATTCCAGTAATACTGATTTAGAAGTAGGAAATGTTTATTAACAAGTGCTGAACAGGAAAACTGAAATTATTACCTTAAAATGAAATTTGCAGTATACGGCATTTCCTCCAGCATTTACCAGCTTAAAAGTATTAGATCCGAAGCCATGCATGTGACGAAATCCATCTGGAATGCCGCGATCACTGAACAGGAATGACACCTAAAAATAAAGCAGCAAATCATAATAATAATTTTATTATTTATACCTCGCCCATCTGGCTGGGTTTTCCCAGCCACTCTGGGCAGCTTACAGCATATCTAAAAACATAATAAAAACATTAAAAGCCTCCCAATACCTGCCTTCAGATGTTTTCTAAAAGTTGTGTAATTCTTTAGCTCCTTGGCATCTGAAGGGAGGTGTTCCAGAGGGAGGGCGACATTACCAAGAAACTAACAAATCTACCTCGGATATCCTCAATGAAAGCTCACATAACTAAAACCAAGTACACTTTTGTATAGCAGACCATGGACTTCTCTGCACTGAAGAATGTTCCAGCCATAATTAATTTTCAGCATAATATTCTGCCCTCACTCCTGAAGCCTTTGCCCCACATCAATAGTGCAATATCTCGTTTCCACACAATCCATCTGAGAGAGCCAGAGAATTATGTCCCAAGGTGCACACAGGATATACGAAGGAAACAAAGTTGACTCTGTCTGCGAGGCAAAGAAAAAGCGGGATAGAAAGAGTAAATCCCTACCTGGTGCAGAGACTCAGGGCGAAGACTCCAGAAGTCCCATGCCATGTTTGGATCTTTCAGATGAGTTTGAGGATTTCTCTTTTGGGTGTGGATAAAGGACATGAACTAATACAATCAAAATACAAATGAAAAATACATTACTGTGTACATCCCTTATTCTAAGTTGTCTTTTATCTGTGAAGCAAGTTCAATATATCTGAACTTACTCTGAGCAATGATAGAACCATAAATCTTAAAAACAATCAAGAGAGCAGTGATTGTTTAGGACAATCATCAAGAGATCCTGAAAACTTCAATATTATATCCTCCTGCTTATTCCTATTTTGTTAAACTTTGACAAAACTCATGAGAAACTGCATTTGTTCACAAAAACAAAAAACTGACACTCAGCCCTGACAAGACAGAGATGTTCATAGGGAGAGGATCAATGAACAATGGAACTTATGCCCTCCCTGCCCCTCTTGAAGGAACAGGTTTGTAATTTGGGGAGCAGTGTTGAGTCCATCATGCTTTCTGGATTCTCAGGTAGGTTTGGTCAATATACTGGTTACAGTTGCTCCAAAATGTATGTTGCAACACCCAGCAGCCTGGCTTTGAAGATTTTACGAGAAGACTTCAACTAGTGAAAATGCAACCGTCACTTTAATTAACAAAACGAGTGGAGGAGAAAATTACACCAGCACTAAAACAACTGTATGGCTTCCATTGCTTTTCTTGACACAATCTGAAGTGCTGGTGTTAATCTTTAAAGATTTAAATGGTCCGAACCCAGTGTATAGAAGGGAACACCTCCCATTTCAGTCCACAAGCACCCAATGATTTTCAAAGGTGAATGTGCTCAGAGATAAAGGTTTCTCATTTTTTAGATGTTCTTTGGAACTTGCTCTCCAGGGCAGCCTGGCTGATTCAACGATCCCTCTCAGGCAATTCATATTGCAATCCATATTGCTTGCAAACATTTGAGCAAGCAGATCATTTTTCAGAGCATCACTTGAATGTGCTCACCTTAATTAAAAAATCTGAACTGAAATGAAACACTGAAAGGCAACCTCAATGCTCAAATTACACAGAATACACATCTGGACAAAAACAATAATTATGACCATTCAGAAGCTAACAGAAAGGTACTTTATGTTAGCAGATGATTCCTCTGGGCACAGGAACAGTAATTTGATTTTTAAAAATAAGCCCCACAGAAGAAACAGATTCAGGTACTGTATTTTGTTCACCACCCATTAACTTATTTTGGGTGCCCAAATAAACATGTCATGAGTTGACCTACCAGCATTGCATCTCTGACAAAGAAGATGGGGGTGTTGTTCCCCACAAGGTCCCAGTTACCATCTTCTGTATAGAATTTCATTGCAAAGCCTCGAGGGTCACGGACTGTATCGGCTGACCCTGATTCTCCAGCTAGAAAAGGAAGGTTTAAAATTTGAACACACTGAGAACTGCACACAGTTTTCCTTCAACCCTGGAGACTGGCATCCATTCTAATACTGGGAATTTAGTACGAAACATTTAAGTTCAAAGCCAGTCATGCAAAGGGCTCACATAGCTGCTTCGAGAACGCAGCTATGAAAAGCATGAACTGCACATACCAGGGCCATCACATGTGTAAACTGCCCTCCTAGCCTTCACCTAATGAATGTTATAAAGCACCAGGCATGATCTTGATCCTGGCAGCAAATCAAGAGGAGCAGATGACAACAAAGGTTGCAAGGTTTTTAGCTGGGGCAATCAGAATAAGATCCACTATTTGACCGCTGACTCAGAACCCTAAACTGTGTTTTATATAATCAACTTTTTGTTTGTTTGTTCTGTGTATATTGCAATGTTCTTGTGTTGCTATGGCCAATGGGTGACACAAATAAAGTTTCATTCATTCATTCATTCATTCATTCATTCATAAAGCACCAATTCAAAGGATTATGCTGATGATTGCACCTATATGTTGCCATTTATAGTTTTTAAGAAGAACGGAATGGGAAGAGTTCATTGCACAATCATTTCCTAGTTTGGTTTGCTGAGAGCTGGCAATGAGTCACTATAAAATAGCCAATAGCTCCTAAATAATGCACGAAGAAAGTCTAACAAAATTAGCTCCTCTAAGTACCCATTTAATGAATGCATGTGCACACATGACACAAATAAAATGGACATACAAAGAGGTGTTTTTTAAAGACTTACCAACAGTAGAGAATCGCATAGCGATTGGAGTTCTTTTGCCAATTTGCTCAAATACCTTTGCTTTGCAATACATGGTGATGTCATGAGTCACTTCAAAATAGCCAAAAGCTCCTAAAATGTTTAAAATGGTTGCTTTTTATTAAAAACTGAAGATAAGCAAAAACAAGCAGTCTAAACACCATGTACTTCAGTAAAATTATCTGATTCCAGGCTGCAAATAAAGGACAAAGTACAACAACTGGCCAAAATTTTGTTGGATTCATAATTAACAGAGAACTAATTTTTAATAAGGGGAAACTATTCAGGAGATAACTGTAGATATCAATTAGAATGCAGGCAAAGTTCGAACAACTATCAGTTGCCAAGCATTGATACACAGACCAAGACAGTTGGGGGAAGATCTCTGCTTTTCTTGGGTGTATCGTTGCTATTTTCTCCCTCAGATGAAGGAAAAGGACACTTTATGTATAGATGCTTGCAGAAGCAACTCTTCTTTTTCACTCTCTCACACAATGCCTTGGTTTGCTCACCACTTTAAATCATAGTTTAGCTTAACTATAGTTTAAAGGTGAACATGCAGTGTGCTGGTACACCAAAGAGAGATGGGAGAATACGGTTGTTTCACTACTCCTGCTTTTGCTACTCTGCTGGGTGCTGGGCCATTATTTGGCTGAGAATTGTGTCTGAATCAGGCCCGTGCAGAGCTTGTCTGAGGCCCACGGCAGGAGTCACGTTCTTGGTATAACAACGCAAGTCCAGAACTACAAAACTGAGTGAAACACATTCTGGGAACTTCTTTGCTTTCTTGTTCCCTCTGTACACAAAACCAGTTCATAATATTTAATTCTCCATCTTTTCATTTTATAAAACAACAAGCAACTTCTAACACTAACCTGCTCCTTTGGCATGCACAACTCTGTCTGGAATCCTCTCTCGGTCAAAGTTTGCCACCATATCTGTGAAAACCACATCCTGAACCAAAAGAGGGCCTCGTGGCCCCACGGTCAAGAGATTTAAACTGTCTGCCACTGGGATACCAGCTCCTGTGGTCACGTTATCTGGTTTCTAATTACAAAAGGGAAAAAAAACATCAAGACTAGAACAAGGAAAAGTACACTTGGCTTTTTACTTTTTTTGTCGTTTAGTGAATGTGCTTATAGGTTAATTTGACAGACATATGATGTAATATGCTTTCTTACACTACAGGGAAAATTACTTCCAGTATTAAACTCAATCATTTTATAATAGGAATTATTAGGAGAGGTTAGGTTTGCATGTAATAAGAATCTAGATGTTAAAAAAGCAATAGAACCAATAGAAATGTGAAAAAAGGAAAACCATTTCAAAGAGTTCTCATTATTAAATTAATGTTGAGGCAGAAATAGGTGAATAAGTAACATCCTGCTGCACCTCCAAACTTGAATGTCACCAGATTTTGAAGTGCATAGTAATTAAGTACTGTTATGTACTGAAGTTCTCACCCTGGGCCAGCAGGGGGATACTGTAGATAGTTTTCACTCAGGTCCACGTCAGTTATTTTAGGCGGGAAACCCTGGGTTGTTGTTGCTACAATGTTGACAGCCGGCTGCCTATAAAAGCAGGCCGGCTGAGCTGTTTGCTGCTCAGTTCTGTTCCAGCTTACAAAATAAAGAGCTGCTTTGGAGAAATCGCTGTGTCGTCTGCTATGTCAACCCACAACTTAACACTGGCGACGAGGATGGGATCGATGGACATCAGAGCACAGCCAGATGCGGCCAGCCTCTGAACTGAGCTGAATCACAGAGCGAAATCACTGAGCGAAATCACTGGACAGAACCAATTCAGAGCTGACTGTTCTGGCTAGAGCACTGTGTTCCATCCATCGCCCTTCACGCCGGCATCGGAATCATGGCTTCACTTGTGCCTCTACCGCCGTTTGCGCCAGCCTCTGATTCATGGGACTCCTACCTTGCTCGGTTCAATTGCTACCTCCAAGCCAACGAGCTGACAGCAGTATCAAAGGAATGGAAGCGGGGCCTATTCCTCAGCCTCTGTGGGCCTGAGGTGTTTGAGACGGCCCGAGCATTGGTTGCGCCTGAAGCAGTCCAGGCAACACCATGGGACACGATCCAAGAGAAGCTCCGCAACCACTACGCGCCAAAGCCGTCCAAGATTGCTGCCCGCCATGCGTTTTACCACCGGAACCAGGCAGAGGGGGAGTCAATCAGCAACTACACCACTGCCCTCAGACAGGCTGCAATGCACTGCGAGTTCCGAGACTTAGACAATGCCCTGATGGATCGAATTGTCTGCGGGGTCCGGGACATCCATCTGCAACGGCATCTCCTCGCCAAGCCAGACCTCACACTACAGAAAGCCATTGAGGAGGCTGTGGCCTCAGAAGCTGCTGAACGTTCCACCCAGGAGATCCGCAAGGCCAGCAGCCCGCGTCTTGCTAGGAAGCCAGTTCCAGTGCATCACGAAGAGGCCAGCAGTGATGAGGCATCCTCCAGTGAAGACGATGACGTGCACCAGACAAAGCGGGAGCACAGGAAGTTCCCACAGAAGTCCAAGGGCCAACCGGAATGTGCCGGCTGCGGTGGCAACCATTCCCGTGCCAAGTGTCGATTCAGAGACGCCATCTGTAGGAAGTGTTCCAGAAGGGGCCACATCGCTAAGGTCTGCCGATCGGCTCCGTCTGACACCCCCCCTTCACCGACTCGCAAGTCCAAGTCTTCACTCCAGTCTGCCAAGGAAAGCTGTTTCGCTCTCACCAACTGCCGCTGCCCGTCTGGAACCACGATTGGCCAAACCGACTTGCCTACGCGATGCAAGCTGAACGTCACGGTGCTCATTGAAGGAGCTCCATGTGACATGGAGATCGACACCGGGTCTGCCCTGTCCATCGTGTCTTGGAGCACCATCAAAAGACTGGTACCCAGAGTGTCCAAAAGGCAACTCGACTCTCACCGCGTACACCTGAGAGACTACCAGGGAAACGACATTCCCGTGGTAGGCGTTGGCCGGTTCCGGATCGCCTTCAAGGATTTTTCGGGCCTGCTCCGGTTGGTGGTGGTCGAAGGTCAGCGGCCAAGCCTCCTAGGGCTAGACTGGTTTGATGCCCTCGGCCTGGAAGTCACCGGCATCAACTGCATCTCTAACGCAGAGACTGAGGGTCTGGTCAAAGACTTTGCCGAGGTTTTTGACGGCACTTTGGGGCAATATACAGGTACGCCCATCTCCTTTAGCCTTGATCCACAAGTCGCCCCCATCAAGCTAAAGCCACGCCGGGTTCCCTTTGCTCTCAAGGCTAAGGTGGACGAACAACTGGACAAGCTGATCGCCCAAGGAGTTTTGGAGCCGGTTGACCACGCCAAGTGGGAAACCCCCATCGTCACGCCTGTCAAGCCAGACGGGTCGGTGAGAATCTGCGCTGACTACAAGTGCACGATCAACAAGGCACTTCAGCAGCACGCTTATCCGGTTCCTGTTGTCCAACACCTGCTGCATTCCCTGGGTGAGGGTAAGGTCTTCGCTAAGCTGGACCTTGCCCAAGCCTATCAACAACTGCCCGTCGATGATGCCACTGCTGAAGCCCAGACGATCGTCACCCACCGAGGGGCATTCCGTTGCCGCCGGTTGCAGTTCGGGGTGAGTGTGGCTCCTGGCATCTTCCAAAGCCTTATGGAGCGTCTCCTGCAAGGGCTTCCGGGCGTGGTACCATATTTTGATGACGTCTTGGTGTCCGCAGACTCACACCAGCAGCTGTTCGAGCGCCTCCGTGCCGTGCTGACCAGGTTCCAAGAGGCCGGGCTCAAGGTAAAGAGGGAGAAGTGCCAGATCGCCGTTCCACAGGTAGAGTTCCTGGGCTATCTTATCGACGCCTCCGGCCTTCACCCGACCACATCCAAGATCCGCGCTATCCAGCAGGCCCCCATCCCAAAGAACAAGACGGAGTTGCAGGCGTTCCTGGGGCTGCTGAACTTTTATAACATGTTCCTGCCCCACAAAGCCACGGTGGCTGAGCCTCTTCACCGACTCCTCAGCACAAAGACGCCTTGGTCCTGGGGTCATCGGGAGACGGCGGCCTTCAACGCGGTCAAGGCTCTCCTTTCATCGGACAGTGTGCTGGTACAGTACAGTGAATCCAGGCCGCTGGTCCTTGCCTGCGACGCCTCACCTTTTGGCATCGGCGCTGTCCTTAGTCACCGTTTTCCAGACGGAAGAGAAGCACCGCTCGCCTACTTTTCCAGGACGCTATCTCCGACGGAACGGAATTACAGCCAGCTCGACAAGGAGGCACTGGCACTTGTGGCTGGAGTGAAGAGGTTCCATGAATACCTCTATGGCAGGACTTTTGACCTCATCACTGACCACAAGCCGCTCCTGGGCCTCCTCGCCGGTGATCGTCCAACTCCACCGGTCCTCTCGCCACGCATGCTGCGATGGACTGTTTTCCTGGCTGCCTACCACTACCGGCTCGTCCATCGCCTGGGGAATCGATGGGCCATGCCGACGCCCTCAGCCGTTGCCCTCTTCCAGCGTTTGTGGAAGACCCGGCTCCAGCTTCATCGCTCCTCCTGATTGAGGATCTTCCGGCAGCGCCTGTATCGGCTGCCACTGTGGCCTCCGCATCTGCCCAGGATCGCACCATCAGCCGTGTGCTCAACTGGGTGTGGAGGGGGTGGCCACAAGGGCCTTTTGCATCGGAGTTCCAGCCCTTCGCAACCAGACAACATGAACTCTCGGCTCATCGCGGCTGTCTGCTGTGGGGAGACCGCGTCGTGATTCCCCAAAGACTCCGTCAACGCGTCCTGGAGGCTCTGCACGTTGGCCACCCGGGAATTGTCAAAATGAAGGCGTTGGCTCGGTGTTACGTCTGGTGGCCTAACATGGACGATGCCATCACTGCCTGGGTGTCCGCCTGTCAAGCGTGCCAAGAATCGAGGCCTGCACCACCGGCAGCTAAGGGACACACCTGGGAGACGCCAAAGACACCCTGGTCGAGGGTGCACATCGATCTGGCTGGCCCCTTTCACGGCCGGACCTTTATGGTAGTGGTGGACGCCTATTCCAAATGGCTGGAGGTGGCCCTGATGCCCTCCACCACTACCGAGGCCGTCATCCGGGTGCTGCGAGGCCTGTTTGCGACGCATGGGTGTCCTGATGTCCTTGTCTCCGACAACGGACCGCAGTTCACGTCAGGCACTTTTGAGCGGTATCTTTTGGGACTGGGCATCCGCCATGCCCTAACGGCACCCTTTCATCCATCCAGCAACGGGCAAGCGGAGAGAATGGTGCGCTCGGCAAAAGAGGCACTGGCGCGCCTGGACCGGGGAGACTGGCACGAGCGGGTCGCCGAATACTTGTTCGTGCAACACATCACCCCTCATGCGACCACAGGGCGGAGTCCTGCTGAACTGCTTATGGGCCGCCGCCTCAGGTCACCGCTCGACCGGCTGCACCCGGACTTTGCCGTGGCCGAACCCCCAGGCTGTGCCAACGCGCCACGGTCATTTGTTCCAGGAAACCAGGTCTTTGCCCGGAACTATGTGGGGGACATTCCTTGGGTGCCAGCCACAGTAGTGGGAGTCACTGGACCTCGCTCGTACCAGGTGGCACTCGAAGACGGACGCTTGTGGCGCCGGCACATAGACCAGCTTAGGCGCAGGGTTGGGGACTTGGACACTACCATGGTGCCCCCAACTGCGCTTGTGGCTCCAGAAGAGACACTTACAGATGGCGAGGCTCCACCTACACCTCCCTCGCAAACTGCCAGCGTGGAGCCGAACCAAGCCGCTTCAGAGGGTCTGCCAGACTTACCACAGACTCAGACCACTCCACTTGCGGAGGCTCCACCCACAGCAGCGGATCCAGGGGATTTGGTTTCAACGCCACCTAGGGTCGCACCACAGCCTCAGCAAGAATTGGGTGGCCCCCCGGACTTGGCTACCAGTCCCCGGCGGTCTGGCAGAGTTTCCAAGCGCCCAACTTATTTAAAGGACTATGTTGTTGGACATGTATCACTGTTGGTCTAAGTATGGGAAATGTAACCGATATGCTTTTGTGCCTAATTGAACCATTACGTGTAGTGCTGTATATAAGGAAACCATTACGATTGTAACTAACGCCTTATCTCGGTGGGGAGGGGTGTTATGTACTGAAGTTCTCACCCTGGGCCAGCAGGGGGATACTGTAGATAGTTTTCACTCAGGTCCACGTCAGTTATTTTAGGCGGGAAACCCTGGGTTGTTGTTGCTACAATGTTGACAGCCGGCTGCCTATAAAAGCAGGCCGGCTGAGCTGTTTGCTGCTCAGTTCTGTTCCAGCTTACAAAATAAAGAGCTGCTTTGGAGAAATCGCTGTGTCGTCTGCTATGTCAACCCACAACTTAACAAGTACTTAATTGTGTTTATGCTTTACCTTTAAGCTTTCAAAATAAGCTTAACAGAATAGACTGCTTGGTTTTCCAGCAAATTATGAAAAGCTAATAATTTAAAACCTGAGGCATGAAAAGTAATTGAATTTCCAGCCTACGTCATGGATATTACACATGGTCTATTACTAAAGGCTAAATGTATCTTTTTATAATATTTCCATAGCAAATTCTGTTTGTGTAATATAAGACTCTGATATGCTGGGTTGTTTAATACAGGCAGCAACCATTTATCAGGGCTTGCCTTTATTGTAAATATGTGTTCAATAAACACTTTTTTTTTAAAGAACACTGAAAACAAATAAAATGCCCAATTATGGCTTCTAAGGCACCATAAGTGTAGCAATACCTGCATCAACATTTGGTACTTCCCAGAGGCTTACCATCATTGCCCTACCAACATTTGCCTTTTGGAAGAATGATGTGGGAGCTAGCTGTTTGCTATCTACCGCTCTCCATCTGGCTCCTTGGAGTACAGCCAGAACAGAACAGAAACTTTGCTGTTGGTTATTTCTTAGCAGTCCAGGCAACACCATGGGACACGATCCAAGAGAAGCTCCGCAACCACTACACGCCAAAGCCGTCCAAGATTGCTGCCCGCCATGCGTTTTACCACCGGAACCAGGCAGAGGGGGAGTCAATCAACAACTACACCACTGCCCTCAGACAGGCTGCAATGCACTGCGAGTTCCGAGACTTAGACGATGCCCTGATGGATCGAATCGTCTGCAGGGTCCGGGACATCCATCTGCAATGGCATCTCCTCGCCAAGCCAGACCTCACGCTACAGAAAGCCATTGAAGAGGCTGTGGCCTCAGAAGCTGCTGAACGCTCCGCCCAGGAGATCCGCAAGGCCAGCAGCCCGCGTCTTGCTAGGAAGCCAGATCCAGTGCATCACGAAGAGGTCAGCAGTGATGAGGCATCCTCCAGTGAAGACAATGACGTGCACCAGACAAAGCGGGAGCGCAGGAAGTTCCAACAGAAGTCCAAGGGCCAACCAGAATGTGCCGGCTGTGGAGGCAACCATTCCCGTGCCAAGTGTCGATTCAGAGACGCCATCTGTCGGACGTGTTCCAGAAGGGGCCACATCGCTAAGGTCTGCCGATCGGCTCCATCTGACACCCCCCCTTCACCGACTCGCAAGTCCAAGTCTTCACTCCAGTCTGCCAAGGAAAGCTATTTCGCTCTCACCAACTGCCGCTGCCCGTCTGTTTGCTATCTACCGCTCTCCATCTGGCTCCTTGGAGTACAGCCAGAACAGAACAGAAACTTTGCTGTTGGTTATTTCTTATTTTGCTTTGTATTTATGTACTTAAGCTTAGGTTGGTGAGGTTTTTTTTGGTGACACTGAATTTTTTCCGTTTGCCAAATCATTGATTTTTGTCAGTTTTGAATTTACTGACACGTTCTATGTTTTGTATACTTGTATTTCGGTGCTTTGAATATTTGCTGTGAGTTGCTTTGGGGGCACAGCTCAGCCAACCAAGCTTCAGCTACATACAAACCAATATTCAATTTGTTTAATAAACAACTATCTAGTGCGCTAAAACTAACCAATGGAAATATGGATGCAGGCCAAATTTCACTGTAGAAAACTGCAGGTTATGCCTACATTAACATTCATAGTTGCAGGTTATTCATAGCTAGCAGAGAGACCAACAGAGCTTTTGAATGGTAGTCAACATAACTGGAAGCCAGACACAAGGAAGATAACAAGCCATAACACAATCCTGAAATTCAGATGTCTAATACAGTATCAACCTCTGCAGATTAAATTAGCAAAAGTAATCTTGCATTAATTTTTAAGTGTCTCCTACAGCACATACAGCTCCACCCGCTTGAGCACGTGAGTCTTCTGGAATAACTACACAGGGGAGTTAGATCACCCTGGCACCACCCATTTAGAGGATAAAAGGTGCCTTCGCTCCTTTACAGATGATTTAAAAGGATATTGCATCTTCTATGTCTGCTTTAATCATGCATTAAGGACTACACCTAGATTCTTGATCACGAACAACAAATGAACTCAACAGATTTAAGTCTCTCTGCCAATAAACCTTCTGTTCTATATAATAACTGCACACGTTAATTTACAAAAGTAATAAAGAGGAAAAGAAAGAATTCTTGTTTTATTGCTAGATATTTGAAGATGAGAATGGAGGTGGGGCAGTGGGGAAGACAGCCAAACATAATAGCATGCACTGTCCTTGGTATGGGGTGACTGTAAAACACGAAGAAACATTTAACGAATATTTTCTTTTCTATCACAAGGGAAAGTTAAGAGAGCACCCCACCATAGTTTACAGCAAGATGGCCCTATTTTGTGATGATGGCATACACCTTTCCGATTGGGGGAATGATATCTGGTTAGCTGATATTGCAGAGGGCGTGAGGCATTGGTTACAGGTGTGAGGGTATTTGGTGGCGAGCCTTTAGGCTCTTGTGGCGGTTAGGCATTGTTTGACCTTATGTTGGGAGAGGGGAGGTGTGGCCATCACCTGCCCCTCCAAGTTTAAGGGTGTTCCATTAAAGGAATCCGGGGGTGTGGATCTTGTCCAAAGCTCGGGCCGGGGCTAGGGCCATGACATGACCCTGTCGGAAACCCCAGGGAACTCGAATTGGTCTGCATTGATGGGGCTCCCCCTTCTGGTGGTTTACTCTTAGCGGACTGCCTGCGCAGCGGGCAGGAGTCAGATATAGTCGGGTCCATTCAATGTCTAAGCCAATTACCGTTCACATTCTGTAACCAATAAAGTTGTGGCCAAAATTTGCCCAGTAACATCAACCTAATATCTGTGTCCTTGTGTGTTTTATTCTTCAATGAGGGGTGGTTGCGGGGTCTAGACACTTCCATTTGCATTGGAAGGAAATTTGCTACTGGCATGAAACTTCCTCTCCTACTTGCTGCAATTCAGATACTTACCGCTCCCCTGAAACAGCTACTATAATCTAATTTGGCTCTATGAGCTCCATCATATGTACTTGTTGCTGTGAGACACTTTCCCAGAGAAGAAAAAAGAATCCAAACTCGGCTCAGGTGTCTCCTTTTCCCAGTGCAAGACAACGCCTGTCACTATGAGATGCTTCACAATGAAACTCCCCAGAGTGCTAATCTTATATGGGGTTAGGTAGGAGGCAATGAAGATGATGCCCAGCCCAAGTCTAGGGACCTACTCCCCACAGTTCCTCTCCTACCTGAACATTCACAGAAACTCTGCCTAGTTCTGTCTGGTCAACAAGAACCACAGACGTAGAACAGACTTGTTTCTTTGCAATGTTTGCTGCTTTCCATAACCACTCCACAAATAAAAGGTTTGCTTACCTTTTTAAAGCAATTACACTAACCAGTCATTTACACTGTCTTGTATCTCAGCTAGCTTTGTGCACAATTTACATATATTCCCAAAAAAATGACAGGCAGTGCCATCTTCACAGAAACTTGGACAAAGCAGTTACTATGGACAGGCTACAGCTGACAGGAGTGTCAGTCAATTCCCAAACGGAATGATGGAGCAACATATTTTGGTCAAACTGTCTTGAGTGACAAGTGTGAAATCATGTATTTCTTACTTAAAACAGGGCTAAGGCTGAAGTCACATAAAACAAGGCAAGCAGCATTCTGTGCTTTTGTGCAGTTTTATGCAGCATACCTTAAAAGTGCCTGGAGGGCTGGACTTGGTTTCAAATTGCCAGTCAGTCAGGAAGCTCACTGAGGGTCATTGGGGAGTATGGATTTCTCATTCTGATCTGTTTCACAGTATACATGTTTTGAGAAAAGCCCACATATATTGCTTTAATCAAAGAGATATATGGATCATGTTCAATGAAATCCTGTATGAATGGCATAGAACTGTGCTGTACATTTCCTCCCAGGAGTGAAGTATGCATCATATATATGGTAGACTGAAGCAGATCAGGAAACTTTGAAAAGGAAACCACATTAGTAATGCTCTATGGACAACCCACTTACGATTAAGCGTAGACAACCCTTTTGCACTTAAGTAACAGACATCTTACTTGTTAGCATTAAATTAAATTTAAATCTTTAAATTTCTTCCAATCTTCTTCCACCGACTCTTCTCCCTGGTCTCGGATTCTGCCAGTCATTTCCGCCAATTCCATGTAGTCCATCACCTTCATCTGCCATTCTTCCAGAGTGGGTAGGTCTTGTGTCTTCCAATACTTTGCAATAAGTATTCTTGCTGCTGTTGTGGCATACATAAAGAAAGCTCTATCCTTCTTTAACACCAATTCACCGACTATGCCCAGGAGAAAGGCCTCTGGTTTCTTCAGAAAGGTATATTTAAATACCTTTTTCATTTCGTTATAGATCATCTCCCAGAAAGCCTTAATCCTTGGGCATGTCCACCAAAGGTGAAAGAATGTACCTTCAGTTTCTTTACATTTCCAACATTTATTATCGAGCAAATGATAGATTTTTGCAAGCTTGACTGGGGTTATGTACCACCTGTATATCATTTTCATAATATTCTCTCTTAAGGCATTGCATGCCGTAAACTTCATACCTGTGGTCCATAACTGTTCCCAGTCAGCCATCATTATGTTATGTCCAACGTCTTGTGCCCATTTAATCATAGCAGATTTCACCATTTCATCCTGAGTATTCCATTTCAACAGCAAGTTATACATCTTTGACAAAATCTTAGTTTTGGGTTCTAACAGTTCTGTTTCTAATTTTGATTTTTCCACCTGGAAGCCAATTTTCTTGTCCAAATTATATGCCTCCATTATCTGATAATAATGAAGCCAGTCTCACGCTTTGTTTTTTAATTTCTCAAAACTCTGCAGTTTCAGTCTATCTCCATCTTGTTCCAAAATTTCCCAATATTTCGGCCTTTTGACCTCCATATTGAGCTTTTTCTGAGCTTTCGCTTCCATCGGTGACAGCCACCTTGGGGTTTTGTTTTCCAATAAGTCCTTATATCTTATCCATACATTAAACAATGCTTTCCTGACAATATGGTTTTTAAATACTTTATGTGCTTTGACCTTATCATACCACAGATATGCATGCCATCCAAATACATTGTTAAAACCTTCTAAATCCAAAATGTCTGTGTTTTCAAGAAGCAGCCATTCTTTCAACCAGCAAAAAGCTGCTGATTCATAGTAAAGTTTAAAGTCTGGCAGGGCAAATCCACCTCTTTCCTTTGCATCTGTTAGTATTTTAAATTTTATTCTAGGCTTCTTGCCCTGCCAGACAAATCTAGAAATATCTCTCTGCCACTTCTTGAAACAGTCCATTTTGTCCACAATTTGCAATGTTTGAAACAAAAACAACATTCTAGGCAATACATTCATTTTTATCGCAGCAATACGGCCCAGCAGTGAAAGCTTCAAATTTGACCAAATTTCTAAATCTTTTTCACTTCAGCCCAGCATTTTTCATAGTTGTCTTTAAATAAATTCCCATTTTTTGCTGTCATGTTAATCCCCAGGTATTTCACTTTCTTAACCACTGTTAAGCCTGTCTCATTCTGAAACCTCTCTCTCTCAATCTCTGTTAAACCTTGGTTTTTAACTTATTCAGTTTAAATCCTGCAACCTGACCAAATTCTTGAATCAGTTCTAAAACCCTTTTGGTACTAGATTCTGGCTCCTGGAACGTCAATACTAAGTCATCTGCAAATGCTCTCAATTTGTACTGTTTGGCTCCGACTTGTATACCTTTAACCAACTGGTCCCTTCTAATCATATCAGCAAAACCTCCAGGACCGATATAAAAGCAATGGGGAGATTGGGCAACCTTGTCGTGTCCCTTTTCTATCTTAAATTCTTCCGTCACCACATTATTTACAATTAATTTAGCCTTTTGTTCTGAATAAATTGCACTTATACCGTTTTCAAAGCCTTGGCCTACCCCCATCCCCTGTAGGTTCTTCTTCATAAAGCTCCAGGAAATATTGTCAAAAGCTTTCTCCGCGTCCACAAATATCAAAACTGCCTTAGTATTTATGTTCACTTGTAATTTTTCTAAGATGTTAATTATGTTTCTCACATTATCCGACAAGTGTCTACCCGGGAGAAAGCCTGCTTGGTGTTTATGAATCTCTTCCATTAACACTTTTTTTAGTCTTTTAGCCAAAATGTCTGCAAAGATTTTATAATCCACATTAAGCAATGAGATGGGACGGTAGTTCTTAAGTTGTGTCTTTTCAGTCTCTGTTTTCGGTACAAGTGTAATATACGCTTCTTTCCACGACTCTGGTGCCCTTTTCCCACCCATTATTTCGTTACAGACTTCCTTCAAAGGTTGTACCAACCATTCTTTTAAGGATCTGTAATATTTAGAGGTCAGTCCATCCGGTCCTGGAGATTTACCTAGTTGCATATTCTGAATGGCACCTTCTATCTCCTGTTCAGTTATTTTATAATTCAACATTGATTTACTTTCCTGAGAGATTTTTTGTAATCCATTTGTTTTCAAAAATCGATCTAAATCAATTTCTTTCTGTGGTCCTTGTGTATATAATTGTTTAAAGTACCTCTGGAAACAATTTCTAATCTCAGCTGGGTTCTGTATATTCCTTCCTTCCACTTCTAGATTTGTAACTGTATTTAATTTTTGTCTTTTTTTCATTTGCCAAGCCAACAATTTCCCACATTTATTAGCCGACTCAAATGTTTTTTGTCTCATTTGTTTAATTTTCCATTCTATCTCCTGATTCATCATTTTCATATATTGTACTTGATATAATTTTATTTCTCTCAAAATCTCTTGCGACTTAGGTTTTGCTCTCAATTTCTTTTCACCTTCTTTTATTTTCTCCAAAATTTTATCCTTCTTCTCATTTTGAATTCTCTTCTTTAATGCATTCTGTTGTATCAAGAACCCTCTCATAACAGCTTTGCTAGCGTCCCAGATTACTCTTTTTTCCACATTGGTGTTCATATTTATCTCAAAATAGTCTCTCAAGGTTTTTTGGGCCTTTTATAAACTTCTTCATCTCTGAATAAGGTGTCATTCATCCTCCATCTGAAGGAACCAGTTGGTGTTAGTTTCATCTCCATCTTCACAGCATTATGGTCGGAGCAGGTTTTTGGGCAGATTTCCACTTTTCTTATCTTTGGTGCCATTCCTCTAGTTACCCATATTTGGTCAATTCTTGTCCATGTCAGTTTGGCTTCAGAGAAGAAGGTTCCCTCTCTGGCCAAGGGATTCTTTGTTCTCCAAATATCAACTAAGTCCAAGTTGTCTGTCATCTCAAAAAAAGTTTTCGGTAATCTGCCGTCCTTAGTGACTACCTGTCTTTGTGCCTTATCCATGTGTGTAGATACCACTCCATTCATGTCTCCCATCAAAATCACATTATAATCCAAATAGTCCATCAAGGTCTCATGCAACTTTTTAAAAAATTCAGATTTCCCCTCATTTGGTGCATAAACTCCTACTATCAAAAATTTCTCTCCTTGTGTTTGAATTTCAATTGCCACAAATCTTCCTTGGTCATCTTTGAATATAAATTTCGGTAATAGTCTCTCCTTTGCATAAATCACTACCCCTCTTTTTAACCTTGTCCAAAGAAATAAACTCCTGACCCAGTCTTTTATTAATCAGTACTTTCCTGTGTAGCCTTGTTACATGTGTTTCCTGTAAACAAATCAAGTCCAATTGTTCCTTTTTTTAATAAATGAAACACAGATTTCCTTTTCTGAGGGGAGTTCAAACCATTACAATTCCAGCTTAATAGTTGCAGAGCCATGATGTAGTTACTTTGCTTCTCCTCCAACTGCATCCAGTGCTTGTTCCTGATCTGTCGGTGGTATCACCTTCTCCAGGCGGTCTTTTAGTTCAGGAGGTAAGCTTGGCATGTCTAAAGTTTCACTTACTAGTGCTCTTAACTCTTCTGCGGCTTCCTTCTGCAGGTCTTCTCCGTGGTCTCTCCAAAATCTGTCTTTGTCGTCCTCTGATCTTATTTTTATCTTCTTCCCTTTGTAACTAAAGGATAGGCCTTGGGGGAATTCCCACCTAAAGATGATTCCGTTGCTTCTCAACAGGGCAACCAAATCTCTATAATTGGACCTAAGGTCCAAAAGATGTTTCGGAATGTCCTTAAATATCTCCACTTTTGACTGGTGTATTTCCAAAGTCTTCTGGAAGTGCAGACTCAAGATTTTGTCTCTCTCCTCTTTTGTTCGGAGGGTGATCAAACAGTCTCTCACCCTGTTCTTCCTCCCTCCTCTTCCAAGCCTGAAGGCACTCACTATCTGGAAGTTATCCTTCTCCAAATCTGGGTTCCAAAAGTCTGCAAATTCCTGCGTAAGAAAATCAGTCAAGTTGTCTTTCTCAAGTTCAGGTATGGCCCTGATCCTTAAATTCGTTTGCTTCTCCTTCAACTCAATCATAGACAATATTGACCTGTGGTCTTCAAGTTGTTTGTGTATCGGTGGTATCTTCTCTTCTACAGCAGTTGCTATTTCCTTTGCCTCTTCAGCTGTCTTTCGTGTTGAGGTAGATTCCTGTAGTAATTTCTGAATAGTTTCTGTGTTGGTATTTACCTTCTGTCCCAGATTATTAATACTTGTGGTGTTTTGGTCAATTTTGCCCGATGCTTCGGCTACTTGTTTACTTATTCTTTCCAAAGATTCGTTAATTTTACCTAGTGCCTGAGCCAAAGCATCTTCAGCTGCCATTCCTTTGGGTTTAGGTTGTGCCGATGAGGCTACTGTTGGTAATCCAGAAGGGCCAGATGTCGATGCTCTTCGCTGCAGCCCACCGTCTGTGCGAAATAGTCTGCCAGACCTCATTGTTTTTTCCTGTAACAAATCTATCTTCTCCTTTCCATCTGCCATAACACTCTAGATAAAGCCCAAGGTCAGTCTCACGATCAGAATTTGTTTTGAAGTGGAAAATTCCCCTGGCCCAGCTGCAATTGTAACAATTTCAAACTTCCTCTAGGGGGACACAGTAGCAGTCAAAAAGTCTTAGAGTAGTTAACCTTTTTCCTTTAGCCCCCCAATTCACAAAAAGGGTGACAGTTTCAATCTCAATTGCTTACAGTTACTTTAAAACCAGGAGAAGCCAGCCAGAAATATTGTATCTTACTTGTATCTCAGATGCAGAGTTAACTGTCAAAAAGTACTTTCAGCAGCAGCGCATTTCACAATACGGCATTCTTACTGTTCACTGGCAACCCGTTCCCAGGTTTGAGCGGTGGATTTTAGCTTCTTTTTCTCTCTTTTTGCAGGGAAATACAGTTCAGACCTTTCCCCCCTCCTCCCCTGCAATCGGGGGGGGGGGGGGAATCACTTAATTTGATGTTAGAATTATAATCCTTTTCCACCGTCTTTCAAGGTTTCCGCTTACAGGTTCATTGCTTTACTCCATTTACAAAGAACGGAAGGCAGACTTCCTGTTTATGCCTCTCCGCTTCGGTGCCAAATTATTTCTTAGTTCCTTTGTTTCCGAAATTAGCCTACTCACGGATCATTGTTTTGCAGCCAAATTGTCCCAGGAAAAAGGCAGCGCTCTCCGGTAACGGCTGTGCGGCTTCGCTCCACGGAAGAAGCAGTTGACTCACAGCACCGCGCCACTTCCCCGCTCCGCTCCGGAACCCGTAGTCGGGCTCCTTTGCAAGTTGGGGGCGCAAATGTGCCCGCCGAGTCCCACGGTCACAGGCTTCACCCGCCTGTGATTTTTGAAGGGTCCCCGCTTCGCCGTAGCGGTGCAGACCCGATTTCCGCAGAGCCGGTTCCCTCCAAGTCAGAGGGAATCCGCCATTACTGATGGCGCCACCCCGGAAGTCCCAGATGGACAAAATTCCTACCGGGCCCCTGCCCCAAGAGCAGACGATCCCATGACAGGCATAGCAAGGTCAAAGCGAACAACCCTAATTCTAGGGAGGGGGGGACGGGCAATCCGATGCACGCTTGAAAAGAGGAAGCCCTAGCCTCGTGCAAGGAGTTTTAGCATTTCTGGCTGTCAATCAACAAATGGCAACATTAACTTCTTCCCAACAACAGGGGAAGCCCCAATCGCATCAGTGGCCAATGATCAATTAGCCCGCCCCCAACTTTGGGGTGTCCTGGCGGCCCCCACCGCAACACGTGCTCTCCATGAAGGAGAACACGCTTTGTATAAAGATTGCTTGCTTAAGTCATGTGGTCTAAGCTTGGAGCATCCAGCTTAGACTTCCTTACTAGCAGGGATCATGTGGTGGAAGTGAGAGATCAAAGGGTTTGGTAACCCTTCGTCCCAAAGTGAGGGGGAGTGATGTGGCAGGTTAGCTTACTTTATGGTCTTAACCTCTTTGTGCATTAATTAGAATTAGGCATGTTGATTATATGAGGCTGATTTATCCCACTAGAAGCAGTACAAAAATGTTTTAAAATAAACAAAGCAGAGCTAAGACAAAAAGGAATGGGGGAAACAAAGCAAAGGGGGGGTGGGAGATGAATCTGCAAGGAGTTACCTTGCAAGATGGCCACCGAAAAATACTAATATGCATGCAAAAAACCAAAAAACGGTAGGAAATCAACCCTGAAAGTTGACATGCATTCCCACCAGCATGGAAACAAAGGACTCAACAGGAACAGAATGGTCATTAGAGATACTCTTAATGGTACAGTGACATTCCTCAATTATTATGATTATTTATTGTTTATACCTCACCCATGACTGGGTTTCCCCAGCCACTTTGGGTGGCTTCCAGCAAAATATTAAAATACAATAATTTCTCAAATATTAAAAGCTTCCCTAAACTGTAAGCAGTTGTTGAAGAGTTCCTGGCAATGAAGACTATTTGCCTGAGATTAAAAGGACAGTTTATGTGAATTTATCATCCCCATATCATTATGACCACTGTCATTTCAAAGGAGTTTTGTAATAAACCATATTAAGCCCCTGGGTGTTGGATATTTAAAACAAAACCACTTAAACATGTCACAAGATTTAGAAAGGCAATATTGCTTGTTGGACAGAGACTCGTAATCAGTTCATACATGAGTTCTAAATTAGCTGTGGCAAAGTTGGTAGAGAGACATTATGACTTGCAAAACACACTTTGAAAATTAAAATAATTATCACTGAGTCAAATGACAGCTATGCTTTGCATCTTCACACCTCTTGAAATGCATCAATTTCCCACAATTTATTTGGGGAAACAGGTATTCAGAAGGATGAAATGCATCTCAAAATGTATATAAACATGTTTTCCATGTGCTGGAGTTGAAAAAATTATTTAGACTTTCCAACATAATCTAATAAAAATGTCTGAGATATGCAAGGCCAGCAAAGAGCTCCGCAGATTTAAACTTGCTAATAGTTTCAGGAAACAGTGGATAGCCAGGCATGGTTATAGCAACACGAACTTTAGCTGTTTGGCATTTTGAGGTTCTTTTTACCATATTTTAACTTATTTCATGGATAGGTTTCTTTTATTGCAAAGGATGCATTGTGAGCTGGCTGCGTTGGGGGTGGGAGTCCGGGTCCTCGCAGCAATCCGTGGATTGGGCAGAGGAACGCCGCCTACGTCATCAGTATCCCCGGCAGTGTCATGCCCCCAGCCAGCCAATGGCGTTGGCTCTGCCTGTTTAAATCGTGGCGTGGCCAGGGAAGCAGCCTCCTTTTTTCCCTCCATTTGTGGGATCTCCCAGCCTACCCACCCTTTTTTCTTGCGTGGATTGACTACTGCCTTGCTATGACTTACGTCGTTGCCTGGTTGATGGGGCTGGGTACGACTTTTTCCACTTGGCATAATTGGCACTAGCCATTTGGTTTTCGCCTACCTAGTAGCAATCATCACAACTTTGTAAGGTTAGGCATTGGATAAGCCTTATTGGTGGCGCTAGTGAGGTTAAACCACAGAGCCGAGGCACTTAAGGTGATCAGTTAAGGATCGGCGGTGTGGATTCCTGTCGACGGCGTGAGCTCCGTTGCTTGGTCCATGCTCCTGCCAACCTAGCAGTTCAGAAGCACATCAAAGTGCAAGTAGATCAATAGGTACCGCTTCGGCGGTAAGGTTGACGCGTTTCCGTGCGCTGCTCTGGTTCAGCCAGAAATGGCTTAGTCATGCTGGCTACATGACCGGAGCTGTACACCAGCTCCGTTGGCCAATCAAGCGAGATGAGCGCCGCAACCCCAGAGTCGGTCACGACTGGACCTAATGGTCAGGGTCCTTTTACCTTTACAAGCCTTATTATGGGACAGGATGTTGTTCCTCCACCTGCCCTCCACATTAAGTGTATCCTGTTAAAGGGATCCAGAAGTGATGGTTCCTGTCCAGAGCTTGGATGTGGGCTAGAAAGTCATGCCATCAGTCTAACGGTGACCCTGGGGATGCTCAACTGATGCACAGTCATGGGCTGAGCCCTTCCGGTGGTTGAGCCCTAAGAGACTTCCTGCAGTCCGGCAGGAGTCAAGATAGAGTCTTGTTTGACGCAATTGCCCAAGTCAAGTCGCTCGCATCTGTTCACCAACAACGTTATGGCACTTATTTATCCCATTAACCCAATATACTTGTGTTGGTGTATTTATTTTGGAGGAGCTAGGGGTCCAGGGCCTCGCCATGCAACAGGATACTGAACTAGATGGACCACTGATCTGATCTGGCAGGTTCTTCTTATAGCATGCCCTGCTATATCCATTAACCAGCAATACTATTGCAGAAGGTTAATAATATGGGTTATATCCAGTCGTCTCATCTAAAAGCAGACCAGATTTCCAGTGGTGCAACAGGATTTCCTTTTCCTCACCCTGTGGCCCCCATGAACCCCCATTATTTGCTCCAGAGGGTTGGGGGACCCTCAGAGCAGATTTTGCAGCAGGGGGTTGCAGAGGAAAAGGGGAATTCTGCTTACACAATGATAAATGATATCCTGTCTCTTGTTTGTATGAATTGATGTGATTGTGTCCAATACAGTACAGAGGTTTGCAAAATGCCTTTAGGATGGCACACAAATGAACTGCATCTTTTATCTCTCTCCACCCATTCCTTTGTCTATCCATAACAATTTATGTTACCTGTACTTTCACAGGTGCTATTAAGAACATGGTGACAGAAAGGAACCACTCCATCTCCATACTTCAGGCTCTGATTTTATCACTTCAACAATGGTGTAGCTGTAGTCTGTTTTCTCATTTGCAATGCAATGAATCTCAACAAAATTCAATGGTTTTCCATCACAATATGAGTTTGCAGTCACCTTGTAAAAAAGTATTCAGACCAGAGTGGACCAATTTAAATCAGTGTGATTCAATTTAGTGATTTAAATACAAGATAAAGTTTAGCTAACTAATTTAAATCAAGCTCTCCATTTGAATGCATATATTATTTCTTCACTACAACAAAGAGAACACAGCTTTACAACTAAGGAGCATGTTCCAAAAATTTTGTTATGGCATATACACCCTTTGCACTATATAATTTTAATCTGCTTGTTCATTCCATACACATGCAAAGATACCAATCAAAATTGGCTAGTAGTCTTCAAGTAAACAAAAGGGCCATGAAACTAGTTCAGTGAGCCCAAGGGATATGAAGTCATTTGTTCAATGCAAAGTCAAAACGCCGTTGAGCTAGTGCAAGCCTTTTGGATGAGCCTAGAAGGCTCTTAAGAGCTCGCAAGTGCTCAGACTTTCCAGAAACAATCACTAGTCTCTTTCATTAGAAGAAAATAAGTGTTCATGTTAGGAGGTCAGTGGTAACAAATATTCCCAATTTGTCACAAAAATACAAAATAGTGACATAATGAAAATACTTGACTTCAAAAGTCATTTCTCCCATAATTCAATCAAAGCTTTAATTTGCTTTAATTGGGGTATGCTTTAATCCAATCCCTTTGACAGTCATGAATTCAGTTTTAAAAGATTTGGATGTCAAGACTTAAACACATTTGCTTGTAAAATACTGTACATACATGTTTCATTTTGATGATTTTTTTAAAAAAAACCTTAAGGTAATTGTTTTTAAAATTATATTTTTTTTAAAAAAATGATGTAAAAACCACATGCACATGCCTTCATACAACCACCCCAATTTTGGAAATAGTACAACATATATTCAGTCTGTAAATATATTCCAAAATGTATATTCCAAAATCTCTGGAATTTTAAAATTAACAGTGAACGTCTTTGCTTGGCTACTCAGAACTTCCACTTCAGTAGGACTAACTCCCAGATAGAGGTATGTAGGATTGCAGCCTGAAATAATACACAAGCTTATCTGCAAGTAAGTCCCACTGAACTTGATGGAACTTAATTTTGAACACCCATGTATACATGCACAGCATATTATACAGTAAGTCAGATGTGAAATACAAATAGCAACAGATGATGGTTGACATAAAGCTGTTCCTCATACCCCAAATAGCTTAAGGAATATGTATTTGCATTCACTCATGGTGACTAAGAGTCTGCAGACGTGGATTCAATCTTTTTAGACTTCAGCATTATGCAGTCTTTATAAAACTCTTATCACATGTAGTCTTAAAATAACTACCATCTCATTTACATTCCATTTTTATTAGTGAAGTAGAAGTGGGGAATATTCAATTAAAAATGATAAAATCAATAAACCAGCACACGCTGATCAAAAGCTTTTCAGAAAATAAGAATCCCTGCCTTTGTCTCCCTTTTACAAGTAAAATTTAAAAGCCCTGGTCCTATATGCCAACATTTCTCAAAGAGTAAGGTATGGACTTCTGTAATTGACAGGTGTAACTGAGAAGTGGATTCTTCTGGGAAGACACATTTTCTCATATGCTTATACACCCCTCTGGTCAACAAGTATAATTAAGTCATGAAATTATCCATATTTAAAAATTCTGGTATTGTAATTAGAAAATTTTGTAAGCTATCATGGGAACTTTTTGAAGGGTTGGATATAAATTCCTTAAATAAATGCTCTATTAAATTACTCTATGCGCTATTAAATCTGTAAACTGACATATTAAATATTCCTTAGTTCATAGTAGTAAACGAAATATTTTCACTCCCTCCTCAGGCAGTGGGATAATCTTAACTTGCATAGAATCAGTACTTCTGCAGTAACTTTGCTTTAATCATATACTTCCTGCACTTTGATTGCATTAAAGTCTAGGAGGCATATGATAAAAACATATCTATCACAGAGGTTCTGCTGTTATACAAGTGAGTGCAAACAGCAATATAGCACATTCTTTACTGTTATTTCAGCTACCATAGTGGTTAAAATTATTTCAGTAGAATCATTCAAATGGTATTAAAATTTGCTACATTTACCAAGGCATAAAGATTCACTTGGGCACTAGAATCTGATAGCTAATGTACTTGGTATTATTTTGTGGTCTGTTTCCATGTATTTTGTTAGGATTATCAACAAACTAAAGAATAATACATTGAAGCTTCTCTCTTATAGCAAATAAACTGGCTAATCTTTCAGTTACAATGCCAATGTATGGAACTGTATCAGTAAACAACAAGGGTATGCACAGCCATTTCCAGGGTCCATTTCTGAGAGACTTTCCCCTGCAAAATGAAATAAGTTGCTGAAGTAGAATTCAAATAGTGTCACAACAGGTCAGATACGAGCCTTCCCACAAACTAGGAAGAAATTCTTCAAAGGCTACCACTAGAGAATAGGTGCCTTTTTAAGAAGGATATGCAAGATACATTTCAATTTAGAACACAGGTAGCATCACTCACACAAAGGTAAGCCCATCTTTAAATGCCGTTTGGCTTCGTTACATCACCTTAAAAATAGGCAACAAGAATAGTCTGAAACACACAACCCCAACATTTAACATTTGCATGTGCTGATGTGCAGCAACAGCGCCAGATTTAGGGTGGTGCAGTTGATGGCACAAGGCACAGAGGCGAGGCACTTCAATAATAATAATAATAATTTTTATTTATACCCTGCCCTCCCCAACCAAGGCCTGGCTCATGGTGGCTAACAAGCAATAATAAAAACAAATTGAATGAATACAACTTAAAAACAAGATTAAGCAGGTCTTGGCACAGCACATCACAAGGCGCAACTCAGAAAGTGGTATTCAATCATTAGAACCAATTGTACCAAAGTACTTATTGTGAAAATTAGAAATATTTTTTTGGGGGGGAGCACCAAATTTTGTCCTCGCTCAGGTCACCATATTACCAAAGTCCGCCCCTGGCACCAGTAAGCCAGCTTAGAGCATCAAACGGCTCCAGGGTTTGGTCCAAAGGGTCATGAAGTCCCTTAGCTGAAGTTAAGCAGGTCTGTGTGAAGTTAGTGACTGGATGGCTGACCACTCAGGAACTCAGGACCAGTTGGGAACTAAGGATCTGGCTTTGCATTTATGACAGAGGAAAAGTGAGTGATAAATTTAAGGGGTGGGGGGATAATACTGAACATATCTACAGTGGTACCTCAGGTTACATACGCTTCATGCGTTGCCACACCGCTTCAGGTTACAGACTTCTATTCTAACCCAGAAGCATAGTGCTTCAGGTTGAAGAACTATGCTTCAGGATGAGAACAGAAATCTGTGCACCTGCAGCGCATGCGGCAGCAGGAGGCCCCATTAGCTAAAGTAGTGCTGTCAGGTTAAGAACAATTTGCAGGTTATGAACAGACCTCGAGAAGCGGATGATAAATACTTAAGCGCTGAGGATGATACTGAACATATCTACTCAGAAGCACATTCCATCTTTTTCAATGGGACTTCCAAGATTGCAGCCTAAAGTTGATGCCAACAGAAATCCCTGGCTTTGAACATTTTTGATTGAAGTTCGCCCACGTTTAAACAACCAATTGCAGCTTATCTTCCCAAGAGACTATGCTCACTCTGCTGCCTAGTTATTAAGGACACTGAAGCCCTATTCCCTTCTACAGCTATTAGGTCGCCCCAACGGGCTCACCTGGCCCTCGTGGGCACTTGGGCCCGCCCACGCCAAAGAGCACTGGACACTTGGTTCCTTCTTTCCCGTTAACAGCACCCGAGATTGACAGTGGATTGTAACTCTCCACTCTTAAGTCTAGGGAAGCACCACTCCTATGGTCCTTACCAACCGTCCCCATCCAACCCCACCCCCGCCGCCTCTCAGGTGGTGGTCGCGCCCGCCTAACTGCGTCCTAAGGCAGCTGCTTAGCCCACTGAATGCAGACCAAATACTTAGCGCGCGCGCGCGCGGCGTGGAACGTGCCAATGGGTTTTTAAGGGGGGTGGGCTTTCTTCTGTACCTGCGAGCCCCGCAGTTCTTGCCAGCGCTTCAGCTGCTCACTAGCAGGGTCCCGGCTCTCGGCCATTTCTCGAGACGGCCGCGAGGATGACTTTTGGCACCGACGGGCTTCTTGGGAAAGAGGCGAATGGCTTCTGCGGAGTGACTCCCGCTTCGCGCGTTTAGCGCACTCTGCGCTCACCTCGTCCTCTTGCCCGGCGCTGAGGAGGCGGAGGATGCGAGAGCAAGGAAAGGTAAGCAGCCCCAAGCCCCGCCCCTTCTCGTTCCTGATTGGCCAGAGCTCCTTTCGCGGCGCTCCTTCCCCAACGGCTATTGGTAAGTAGTAAAATTCACACCTTTTCTATTTGGACTTACTTGCTCAGCTAAGTGGAGCTTTTCTTTCTTTGCTCTGAACACCAATTAAGTATAGTGATCGTTATCTCCCTTTGCATAACATCGGTTCTTCTTGCAACACATGTTTTCATCAATGGGCAATCGCTATGTACAGAGAGCTAAATATCCAATCATAGTCAAGAACTCTCCAGCTGCTGCCGAGAGGAATCTCTTCCCAACCTCCAGTGTGGTCGGTGAGGCGGAATAGGGAACAAACGTGTCTGGAATTGCAGCCTTAGCTTTAATTCTCTTAAAAATTAAAGCTAACCGGAAAAGAAGTAACATAGACTTCCTGATTGGTACACAAACACGCACACACAGTCTATCAATATTTTGTTTTAATTTCTTTTTGCTTTTTAACTTCTTATTATATTGTTTTTTTGTTTTGTTTTATGTATTTATATTGTTGTAAACTGCTGTGATAAAGATCTATATGGTGGTGTATAAATATTTTTAATGAATAAATAAATGAAATGTTGCGATGAAAATGTACTTACCTCTATAGCAGTGTTGCAAGTTTGTGATGTTGTGTTAGGCTGTATGTCTGAGTTCCTTCTAATTGCTGGATCCTGCAATAATTCAATTGTTGGTAAAAGGTGAAAGATTTATACTAACTGAAGAGAAACCAGAAATTGGACAGGACTATAAGAAAAAGTGATACAAAAGAAGGGAAACTACCCAATGCCTCCCCCCCTTCAGATGACAGACAATTGTTTTTCAATACATTGTTTCAATGTTTGGCAAAAGATATTTCTAAATATATCTGGCAAGGGAGAAAAACCAAGAATAAAATATAAAATATTGATAGATGCAAAATAGAGAGGAGGATTCTTCTTGCCAGATGTGATATATTATGAAGCATCTTGTCTTTGTTGGTTGAAAGAATGGATGACACTGGAGAATCCACATATCTTAGATTTAGAAGGTCATGATAATATTTTTGGTTGGCACACCTATTTGTGGTATGAAAAGGTGAAAGTACACAACAGATTTACATATCACATAATTAGGAAAAAATTGTATAGAGTATGGGATAAATACAAAAATTTATTTGGGACAAAAACACCACTTTGACTCTCATCATTGGAAACCATAGCGGTAAAGAGGAGGAATATGATAGAAGGTTGGACAACTTATAGAAATCTATTAAAATAAGAGGGAGGAGAGTTTAAATTAAAAGAATTTAAGGATTTATCAGGAAAGTTAACAACATGGATACAATATCAGCATTTGAATGACGTATTTAAGAAAGATAGGATACGAGGGTTTGGGGAACAAATATCACAATTAGAGAGAGATCTGTTGGAATGTAAAGTTAAAGTGCTATTACTGGAATGGGAGACAAAGGATGAGCAAGTAAAATCTTCAATGATATATTGGACAATAGATATTGGTTATAATATAGATATGGAAGCGTGGGAACAATTGTGGAATACAGATATAAATTTTACAGTGTGCTATGGTTTAAGAGAAATCTACCTAAAAATGTTATATAAGTGGTATCTAACACCGAGTAAATTGGCAAAAATGTATAAATCAAAATCAAATAAGTGTTGGAAATGCAAAGAGAAAGAAAGCACTTTCTATCGTATGTGGTAGCCTTGTAGTAAGCTTAAAGTTTACTGGGAATTGTTATATATTGAATTGAAAAAGATGTTTCAAATAACATTTGTTAAAAAAACAACCCCAGAAGCTTTCCTTTTGGGAATTATAGGGATAGAACTACCTAAACAGTATATAAATTTATTCATGTATGTGACTACAGCGGCAAGAATGTTTTTTTGCCCAAAAATGGAAAGAAGAAGAAGTCCCGATGAAAGAAGAGTGGATACAAAAACTTATGGACTATGCAGAAATGGCAAAACTTACTGGAAAAATAAGAAATCAAGATAACAAACTTTTTATAAAAAAATGGAAATGGTTTATTGAATATTTACAAACAAATTGTAAACAGATAAGGACATTGGCAGGATCACTGTAATAACCTGCAGTTTCATAAGAGTATATAAATAAAGTAGATTAATAATAAGTTAAGTTGATTTAAAATATGCCGTTAAGTTAATGCAGTTAAGTTAATTTAGAATATGCAGGAGATGATAAAAATAAATTTAAGGAACCGCAGAAAGAGGAGGAAGGAAGTCGAGTTTTGAAATGTTAAAATAACTGTAAAACTATTGAAATGTATATAACTGAAAATCATAAAAATAAATAAATTAAGAATTCAATTGTTGGAATAACCAGGTCCGCTTCTTGGTAATGAGTCATTAAGGTAACAAAGAAAGTAGCTCTGTTCTCGACAACAAATGGGTGGTCCCTATACTCCCTCAACTAGCTGTTAGTTAGAAGGGCAAAAACTAGCGTTGTGTGTGATAGTTTGGCTAGAAGCACGGGGCAGGCAGAAGCATAGGGGAAGAGCCAAGCTTGATTTCGGTTTGAATCCAAGACTGTTGCTGTTGGAGAAACAAAACCTTAAAAAGGTAAAGGGACCCCTGACCATTAGGTCCAGTCGTGGCCGACTCTGGGGTTCTGGCACTCATCTCGCTTTATTGGCCGAGGGAGCCGGCGTACAGCTTCCGGGTCATGTGACCAGCATGACTAAGCCACTTCTGGAGAACCAGAGCAGTGCATAGAAACGCCGTTTACCTTCCCGCCGGAGTGCTACCCATTTATCTACTTGCACTTTGACGTGCTTTCGAACTACTAGGTTGGCAGGAGCAGGGACCGAGCAACGGGAGCTCACCCCGTCGCGGGGATTCGAACAGCTGACCTTCTGATCGGCAAGTCCTAAGCTCTGTGGTTTAACCCACAGCGTCACCCATGTCCTCTATCATTGGCTCAGGTTGTATATATATTTAAACAAACCAAATATAATAAAGACACCACAGTCTCTGCTGTCCCTCATTCCGAGGACAGCAAAACCTGGGTAAACAGCTGGCGCCCCTGGAATCTCACACCAGTCAGAGATTGGGGTGGCATGCAACAGTATGGATACCTCAGTGATGACTTTCCAAGTTTGTATGTTGGTTCCCATTGTTTATTATCTTTCTCTAAGAAAGCCAAAACGTGATAATGTTCATGTGAGCATAGGAACACAGGAAGCTGACTTATACAGAGGTGAGACCATTGATCCATCTGCCTGTGTATTGTTTACATTGATTGACAGCAACTCTGTAAGGTGTTGGCAGGTGATATTTCCAGTCTTGCAAGGAACTGCTGAGTATTGAAGCTGAGACCTTTTGCATGCTATCAAATGTTCAGTCACCAAGCTATAGTCCTTCCGCATATAAGAACAAATGCTTGTCAAAGTAGGTGCCACCTCTGCATACAGTTGCCCCTTTTCTCTGGACAGAAATTTTTTTGAGTGGAGGGTTCATCAGGTCCGGTTGTCTCCACCGCATCAACCCAAGGTGGCAAGTGGGAAAGACAGCTGCAGTTGCTGCTGCTTATTGGTTGCTACCTTAAGCAGCAGTTTTCTTTTCCTTGTAAGAGCAGCTGCTGCCTCCTCACTCATGTGCACATATGCCCTGCTCTGTGCCATATCCCCTCTAAGCTTGGGTGGCAGAGGGAGAGTAGGCATGCAGCACTGTGGCACAGAGCAAGTGGTCTGACCCACACAAGTAGGCGCAAACACCCCATCTAGGTCTTCTCATTGGGTGGTAGTAGCTGCTGCATCTCAGAAGGGGCAGCTAGCACAAATCTGCATCTGCTTCATCTTAACATTGACAGAAACTTTGACAGTAAAGGTAAAGGTAAAGGGACCCCTGACCATTAGATCCAGTCGTGACCGACTCTGGGGTTGCGGCGCTCATCTCGCTTTATTGGCCGAGGGAGCCAGCGTACAGCTTCCGGGTCATGTGGCCAGCATGACTAAGCCGCTTCTGGTGAACCAGAGCAGCGCACGGAAATGCCGTTTACCTTCCCGCCAGAGTGGTACCTATTTATCTACTTGCACTTTGACGTGCTTTCGAACTGCTAGGTTGGCAGGAGCAGGGACCGAGCAACAGGAGCTCACCCCGTCGCGGGGATTCGAACCGCTGACCTTCTGATCGGTAAGTCCTAGGCTCTGTGGTTTAACCCACAGCGCCACCCGTGTCCCTAACTTTGACAGTAAGCTTTTATTATTACTCATTTCACTTCATTACCAAACCCACACTAAACAATGTACTATTTTATGACATAGTAGTTAAGTGGGATTAGGGTTGCAACTTTAGTGAAAGTCAACGTTATCATACCTTGTTGAGTATACGTTTGGGAAGAGAGAAAGCTACTTTGCAAACAAGACCTGACCCGTGATTTGCCAATTTATCATCCTTAATCCAGAGGGGCAAAATGACTTGAGGGAAGGAACTAACAGTTATTAGCAACTAGGAAATACCATGGGGGCGAAAACAGAGTTCTGCTACTATTTCCTTCCCTTTTGAAAAAAATTTATTTTGTTTTTTCCAGCTCTCAACCACCCACCCCACCCCATGTTTCTGTCTATGGGTTAAAAAGCCTAGCCTTCTGCTGAAAGGTAGCTGCACAAGTTTGCCTCTGTTTAGGATTATCTGTTATAGGTGTTTTGGTTGAGATTCCTACGTTGCAGGGTGTTGGACTACATGACCCTTCCAATTCTATGATAATAAAGTATCAGGACGATGTACAAAATTAAATCATAAAGCACAATTAAAAAGAAAACTGATAATCATTAAGGTGACTGGTTCATCAACAAAATTAACCTCTGAGGCATCCCTAAAAATTATTTTCCTTTGGCATTGGACCCCTTTGCACTTAGCCGACAATAATGCAACTCCCTCTCATCTGTAATACTTTCATAAATATATGTATATTGTCATTCTGACATTGATTAAAAAACAGTTTTTCTCTCAATTCATTATAATAAATAGGTTCTGCCAGCTTTGCTTCTTTAGGAGAATATTAGTAGCTACTTTAGAGACACTGCGCTGTGAGATTATTTTTCTCCTACCCCACCCCACCCTACCCCACCCACATAATTGCTCTTCCTAAAGCCATATTATCTTTTGATACTCCCTGTATTTGGTTGATTATTGTATTTTTATCAGCTTACATGGGAACCCCAGTGGTCTTATCCAGCCCCTGATCTTTATTATATTTGGTTGGCTTCCACACTATTAAGTAGTTTTGAAGTGTGTTGCCTTGGGCTGCTGTTGGGAGGGAAAGACACTTCCTTGACTATACAAAACTAATGACACATTTATTTGGATCCTGGCCATGCTACATTTGATTGGATAATTGGACCATACCTTTAGGGCTGTCTAGTTCAAAATCAAAATGCACACTTGCAAGATGGGCTGTCTAGT